GCAGCCCCAAAAACAACAGAAAGGAGCCCACGTTCCTGCAGAGACACCCATCCGCTCCTCCCAAAATCCCCGCTGATGTCAGCTCCGGGAGCGTGGGCTCCGGAGGAGGACCAGGAGCATCCCTGTCCTCATCGCCTCTGGGCAGGGGCACTGAGCCCGGGCAAGGATCCCTTGGCTCCCAACTATGCTGGAAGGAAAAGGACTACAAGAACACGAGGGTGTTTTGCACCATTCTCCATGAGGATGCTCAGGAGAGGGGGGTCCCAAAGCCCAAGTTTTGGGGTCTCCGTCACCACCGCCTCCGTGGCAGGAGCCGAAATCCAGCCCCGGCACATCCCGGCTTCGCAGGAGCCGAGCGAGCCAGCAAAGCAAACACTGGCAGAGAGCTCCCGAGCCGTGTAAACAAACAACCAATTAAAAGATGAAATAAATCCCCCGGGTACGTAACCTTTCTATTTAAGCACCGGCCAGGGCTGGAGGAGCTCCAGCACATCCGACCCAGCGCCGTCTGTGATCTCCCTGCCCAGCCCCGCGAGCCCGGGGCTCCTCTGGGATGAAAGCGGGCGGCTTTCAGGGAGCAGCTTCACCTTTCTGGCATTTCTTTCCCCCCCAGTTACACCTTTTTTTTTTTTTTTTTTTTTTCTTTTGGTTTAATTCAGAGGGAAGCCCTCAGCCCCTTTCCACACCCCAGAGGGGCAGCAGGGATGCTTTTAAAGGCGAGGGCAAAGCGAGGGAGGGAAAGCAGCAGCAGGGAGCCGGTGCTAAAAGCCCCGCACCTGCAAGGATTTCACCACCTGAGCACAGCACCAGGGCCCAGAGCTCCTCTGGGCAGCCACGGGGGCAAAAAACAAGGCTGGAGGCAGGAGGAGGCGCTGGGACAGGGAAGTGAAAGAGGCAGAGATAGCGCTGCCACCCTTCCCACCGCCGCCTGCAGTAATCACAGCCGCTCTCACTTCTCCCTCGCTGCCCCCACGGTTCCTCCGCAGGCGGGTTTTGGTTCCTCTCCGCTCCCCGGCCACCTTCCCTGTTTCGAGGCCGAGCCTTCAAACCGCTTCAGCTTTTATTTCCAGTTTCTAAACCGCAGGGATGCCGCCGGTTCCCATGGCCCGTGCTGCTCCCTGCCCCGTCCCGGCACCCGCGTCCCCTCCAGGAGCTGGGGGCAAGACAGGGACCAAGCCCAGAGAGGTGCCCCAGGGGGAAGGATGGGGATGCTTTGGGCTCAGGATGGGGGTGCTTTGGGAGAAGAATGCTTTTCAAGGAGGATAAAGCTGGGGGATGTTAATAAGTTGGTGACTTACACAGACAAGCACATCACCTCCCCACCTCCCTCCAGCCCCAGGGCATGGATGGGAGCAACTCCTGGCCCACCATGCCCGCAGCCCCCAGCACATGTTGGTAAGCCCAACCACTTTATTTTATTTTATTTTGTTTTGAAGAATCACTGCAACACGACTGGCATCGGAACGAAGCGTGGGCTCTGTTCTGCTTTTGTTAATTTTAGTGCCGACGCATGCAAACGACGGCGGAGAGTCAATATTGACTTTCCACTGAAGCAAGCGCCCGGGTTCATTGACTGCAGGGGTGAGGGCTCTCCAGCAGCTGCACGGGGCTGGCGCTCACAGCCCGTGGAGCACCGCAGGAGCCTGGCCACCGAGTGCCACCCGTGCAAAAAGGCTGCTGCTTGCAGCGCCGCGCACGCGGGGTGCAGGGACCCCGCAGCTCGGTCACAGCGGGGAAAATCCCAGCCCCAAGGAGGCTTCCCCAGAGGGAAAGGAGCCGCGGGTGGGAAGCCCCTGAGCAGGGCTGGCAGGGAAGGGCAGGAGAAGGGGCTTCCCGGGGGACACAGCGAGCCCCCGGCTTCATCTGCTGCCGTCTCTGCTTTCAGAGCGAGAGCTGGCAGCCAAAACCTCGCCGCCTTTATAAAGGGGCCGCGCGTGCCAAGGGCCAGGTCACGGGGCAGGCGCAGCAGGGTCACCGCTCACAAGAGCAGCAGGCGGGGGCTGGGGCTTTTCCTGCTGCCCCCACCTCGGCTTGGCCCTACAGGGTCCTGGCCACCACCATGGGAGCTCCGTGCCCCCAGCCATGCGTCCCCAGGCACATGGCACTGCACGGCATGGCCAGGGCGCACAGGGCGCAGGCACCGTGCTGAAGGGTCGTGGCCATCAGGGGCTGGGGTTGCCCCCAGGTCCCTGCCGGGGGCTTTACCAGCAGCCCGGGGGCTCTGCCAGTCACAGACCAGCTCTGTCCCAGCCGCATTCCTCGGCGTTGACGTGGTTTTCTTTCTTCCCCCAACCTTATCTTGCTCCAGTTTGTGCCTTGTGTTTCTCCAGAGCTGCAAAGCAGCCCGGGGAGCCGTGCAAACCGAGCTGACGGCATGCCTGGGGGCTGCTGCTGCTCCTCAGGCAGCTCTAAGGCTTCCTGCGGGTTTTCTGCTGGCCGAGCAGAGGTCACCCAGCCCAAACCCTTTGCAGAGCATGACAAAAAACGGAGCATTTCCCTAAAACGAGCATGTAAAATCATCGGTCGGTGTCAAATCATCTGGAAAGGATACAAAACAACATCCCACTGATGCAAGGGAAAAGCAGGGTGAGACCAGGCAGGGAGCAGGCTGCCTGCTCTCAGGATTTTTCTGTCCCCTCCGTGCAGCTCGGAGCATCTTTTACTTCACTGAGGACCCCGGAGTACCTGCAGAGCAGGGCAGGACCTCTGCGGCTGGCCCGCCTGCACTCCAGCCCCTGCATGACTCCAGACAAGCACAGAAACACTGAGCAGCACGGCCCTGGGGAATTCAAGCTTCTAATTAAGCTCAATTATTCCTGGAAACAATTTTTTTTTTTTTCGGCTCTCTGCTGAGGCAGCTGGCCAGGGCAAGAGCGCTGCACCTGCAGGTTTTAATTGCGAGGCTGTCATCGTGGAGCAGGGCTATCGGCGCGCCTGGTGCCAAGGAGTCTGCCCAGCCTCACGTCCCTATCTCGGCACACGGGCAGCTCTCTCATCTCTCCCCACCCGAGAGGCCAAAACACTGCTGGAGGCGGAAAGCAAAGCCAGCGGGGCGTAGGAAAAGGGCTGGAGGAGGCAGGAGAACATCGCCCCTGCGGCTAGAGCTGTAGCAGCAAGGGTAAGCGACTTGAGGCAGCACGAAGTAGTTGTCGTGCATCCCACACACGGCAAAATTCGTGCCCTGTCCTCCCTCTGCATGGGACAGGACCACGCCGTTCCCAAACACCCGGGTGCACCAACCCGAAATGAGGCGTGCTCCAAAAGGCAGCCTGCCTGCCGCTCGGGGTCAAACCACGGCGGAGATGGGCAGCCCTCGGGGCTTTGTCTCCCCGTCCCCGGGGTGCCACATCCCTCTCCAGCTCCCAAATCTCCCCCCCGGCCCCGGCCCCGCTGCGGTCGGCGCTGAGCTGTGCCGGAAAGCACAGGGCTTCCTGCCGCCCCGCGCTTTCGAAGACACGAGCTCGCCGCGGCCCCGCTCGCTGCAGGCGGCGTCAGCCCCGGAGCCTGCACGGCACGGGGACACGGCGAGGGATGTGAAGCAGAGGGAGCTCAGAGCTGTGAAAGGAACGAAGAAACACGGGGTTTTCAGCTGGATAGTCTTTTAATTATTATGATTGTTGTTGTTTTTAAGCAATCTGCCTGATGGGTCGCGTTCCTCTGCTCTGCTGAAGGCTCCCAGGACTGAGGTTTGGGCCGCTGCTGATGCACCTCCCAGATCAAGCAGCAGAGGAGGTGCCCGAAGCGCCATGCCAGGAGCCAGGCTATCTGGCCACAAAGCAGCACCAGCACGGCTTTGCTCTTTCTGCTGCTTTTGCAGGGAGGAAAAACTCCCGATCCAGCCTTTTTTTGCCCCGAGGCTGCTGGCACATACCTTGCCATGGGTGGGGACGGCGGTGGCTGCGCCATGGGTGGAAGCGGCGTTGCTTCAGCCCTCCGCCTCCAAAGAGGAACTGAACTGTTTCTGATGTTTGCCCCGGAGCAGAGGCGGTTTGGCAGCCTTTATCCCTCCCTGCAGTGCTATCACGACCTGCCTCCCACCAGAAGCAGCAGCAGTTGCAGAGGATCACGCAGTGGTGAGATTCCAGCTGTTCCTGCAGCCCAGAGGACACAGCCTGGGCACGGTGTCCTTCCCTGTGCATTTTCCAGGCAGCCGCCCTGAAGCTTTCCATCATGCCCTCGGGCTCTGCTCAGACACACCTTTTCACTGCCGCTCCACACATTTGCAGGACAAAGAAGTAACTCTCTGTGTTCAAGGCTCTCCCGTTTCTTTGCAAGCCACAATTTAAGCCTCTGGGTGAGCCCCAGCGGCGACACTGTCTCCTTATCAGCTTCTTTCTCCCGCTGCAAATCCACAACTGGTGGGTGCTGTGATCACAAGCCCCAGATTTGCGTGCTACCAGCACAAACTCTGGGTCTAAAAAGGGCAAATTAGGTTATCCCATTTCTGCTGAATTACCAGCATTCATGCTGTGTACCATATTCTTTATTACATATTCTTTATAGGGGGAGAATGCCCGGAGCAGCAAACCAGCTCCCTAACAGCTGAACGTTTGTACCAAGGCCATGGTGTTTTGACACCGTGTGAGGAACACCGGGGGGTGGCTGCGTTGCCAAACCACAGACGAGCAGGGAGGATAAGCAACCCTAACTCTGTGACATACCCACGGCAGAGCCAGAGGAGAGCCCGCAGTGTCCAGCGTCAGCTGCAAGCACCAGAACACGCTGCTCTGTGAGGAGGAGGCAGAGACCTCATGGAAATCAAGAAGCTCCAAGCAAAAACCTGCAACGTGTTGGCGGCTTTCGCCATCCCCACATGAGCAAACTGCCCCAGACAGCACCCGTGGGGCCTGGCACAACCCCTGGGAGGAAAAATCTGGGAACTATGGCACTGCCACGGCCCTTCTCGCGAGCCAGCAGCTCCGCTCACACCAGGCTCCTTCTGCCTTTGTTCCTAGAAGCTCAGACGCCCCGGCTCCTGGTCAGTGGACGAGACAAAACGGGAAAGTTCAGCGGATTTTATTTGTGGGGAATAGATAAGGAGGGCAAACAGACCCCGATAACCCCTTCCCTCGTGCGCAGCAGTTTGAAGGTTGCCCCCCCAGGCAGGATGCACATTCTGTACCGAAGGCCTTAAATTTGGCTGGGCCTAGTTAAAAATAAACTCTGGCTCAGCAGTACCGAGCTGTGGCGACGTGTTCACCGGCGCCGTTCCCCCCAGGGGCAGGACCACGTTTCCGAGGAAAGGCTGCACTGGGGGAGCCCTGGCTGCTCGGGTCTGCGGGGTCACAGGATTTCCCAATTTCCCCACGCCAGCCTGTTAATGTTCAAGCCGGGGAGCGCTGTCAGAGGTAAGGCGTGACTCCCCTCCCTTGGGAAACACTTCCTGCCTGCAGCACGCAGGGGGGCAGGTGCCAGGCTGGCTCGCCCTCTGATTTCTCCATCCCAAGCTGGTCGGCAGACACAAAAGGGCAAAGGCTGATTTGAGGACTAGGGAGCTCCTCTCCATCATTTTTTTTCCCGTCTGTGATAAAAAAAAACAGCACACACAGGCAACCATGTTAGGCACAGGACACCCCCAAAGCAGCTACAAGAGGCAATTCCTCGGGGGCAGAATTAAAAGCTCCCTGCTATTAAGCTCCCGGAGGGGGAATGCTTTTTGGACAGTGACTCCTGCTGGAAAGGTGAAGGCAGCACAGCCACAGACCACGCTCTGGAGAGTGGGCACGTCCCCATACCCAGCTTCCCACCACCAGGCCTGGCACATCGCCCCTCCTCCTCTCCAGCTGCCCCAGGGACACACGGGCAGCTCCTTCTGAGCCTCCTCAGAAAGGATCACACGAGAAACACGAGGCCGCGGGGCCTGGGGGAACGTTACTCCCTCGCTGCGAGATACCACAGAGTTTTCCCACACGAAAGCAGCGTGAGCTCGGCCTTGGTTTCTCAAAGTCTGCAGCGAGGCACCAGACGTCAGTTTGGCACCAGCTGGGAGCCAACTGCTGCGCCCCTTCGGTTGGGGAGCCCGCTGCAGGGCCGCGCACCATCTCGGCTGGGTTTCCTGTTGGCTTTATCTTCAGGTCCCCAGGAAGGCAATCGGCAGGGCGAGCAGTCAGCTCTGCGCCGGCAGGTCCCGCTCCGCGACGACCCTCCGCACGCTCTCGGCGATGGTCCACACCTCTGCCATGGCTCCTCGACCTGCAGGGCAGGGCCAGACACACAGGGTGAAGCCCACGGACAGAGCACGAGGACACGCTGCCCCCGCCCCACCTCTGCTCCCCTCCGCACTCGGCAGCCCTGAGGCAACGCAGAGCACACCTCGAGGCCGGGGCAAAGCTTGCTCGTAGCCCCGTGTGTTTCCTTGTGACTCACCCCACAGAAAGCAGCTGTGGGGGCTGCAGGATGGGCTCGGGCCTGCCGGCTGGGCAGGGGTTTTGCGGCACGGAGGAATGCCATCGGGGAGGAGCCGTCAGGCTGACTTCGCCTGGCTCCCACCTCACAAGTCTAAGCAGGAGCACGAGCTCCTCAGACAGTGAATGGAGGGAGGCAGGAAACCTCAAAAGGCAATTCATGTGACCTTAATGAGTACCTCATGTTCTGAATCATCTCCAAGGACAACTGCGCCTAACCCTCGCGCAGGGAGCTGCTCTCTCCGCTCACACTACCCCAGGAGTAAGTGTGCAAAAAGAGACCAAAAAAAGCACGTGGGTAACAGAACACCCTGCCTCCCCTCCCTCCTCCAGTGCAAATGCTGCGTGTGCTCGGTATTGTTTTGAAATGGTCTGTGACTATTTAAAAAAAGCTTGATTTCATACCATTCCTGTGACTCCACAGTTCGCCCCACATTACAGAGAGCTGCCCTGGATTTGCACTAGCTTGATTCTTGGGAGTAATTCTTGGAGAAGAGCGAGTGCTGAACAGAACAAAATGTAAAAGCTTTTCCTTTTGGGCTGGTTAGCTGCCAGATGAACATCTAATCTACACTGCGCTGTTGCTTCCTTCTGAAAGACTTTTTTTTAAAGCTTAGAATGAAAGCTTTAATGCCAGAGATCACTAAATCATCTCATCCAACCTCATGCGCTCGCAGAACTCAGTCTGTTCACTCCTGTCATTTGCTTGAGGCAAGCACAGGGATACCTCCCCACCAGCACGTGTCTCCATTAGAAGATTCAAAAGATGGGAGTTTCTGTTGGTCCTTTGTTCTGCTGGCTAATTGCTCTAATTATTTATAACATGAGCTTTATTTGCTACTAGAAATTAGTTTGGGGAGGTTTTGTTTCCCTTTTTTTTTTTTCTGGTCCATTTACACAGCGGGGTTAGTGAACATACAGATGAGCAGCGCCCAACAGCAGGCTCCAAAGGACAGTAACAACTTGAGGAAAGATGGAGGGGAAGGGGAAAGGCCGGTCAGAACAGCAGAGAGAAGTGTTCTCTCTGGGCAGATCACAGCCTGACTCTGACTTCACCCTCAGTTTTCCAGTAGGGGCCTTGCCTGGGACAGAAGGCGTAACTGGATAGAACTGTGAAGACTGGGGGTGAAGAGCAATACTTCTGGAAGGGCAAGGAAACTGAGTTTCCCTAAGAAACACTCAGTAAGACCCAATCTCCACTCCCCCTTTTCCAGACCTATAAATCCCAGGAGGCCTGAAGCACCCTACGGACAAGATGTGTGCAGATTTGGGTGCTTCGGGCCTCTTAATCTCAAGAGGAGCTGTGTCTGACAAGCCCTGCTAAACAAAAGACATTCCCTGACTGCCGCCTCACGGCTTGGCAGAGCTACACCCTTCAAGGCCCGCCTTTGTCCTCCATGACCCACTTCCTCCACGTCTTTGGCAATTCACAGCTGGATCTTTAGGTTTAGCTGAGAAAAAATCTTGCTAAACTGCCTATCTTACAGCACAGATCGTGCCTACAGGTAAAATTCTTCCAGCGTGCCAAGCTCTAGAAACCCGGCCAAGGATGATGAAGATATTAGCAGATTGGAAGTGTTTTGCAACAGTAAATTGCTGCAGGCCCACAGGCTGCAAAGCTCTCCTCCTTGTATCACAGCACACAGCCATCAACAAGGCCAACAGCCAGCAGGTTACATTTAGCTACCCAGTCAAGGGAGCATTTTAATTCTCAACTCGATTTCATTTGTTATTTTAACTCGTTTTTCGCCAGGCCTTACACCCAAAGCCACTCACTCACCAAGAAGTATGTATCAAGTAGAGGTTGTAATAGAGAAACTTGGTGGCAGCCAGGGTCTGGCCCACTTCAGGTGAGACCAGTCACACGAGCAGAGGAAGGCGAACCTCTCACCAGCAAGTCAAACCACAATGTCAACAGACAAAACTGGTGCAAACTGAATCTCTTTTCTTCTGCACCAGATGTGAGCTCTGCTGCCTGCTGTTTGGGTGAAAGCTGGGCAAACCCCTTTGTGGATAAAACCCACAAGACAGAAATTAGCTTGGAAGAAGAGGCTGTGGGGTAAAAGGCCTGAAAAAAGAAGGGGGAGAAAAAAAAGTCAGCGGTGGAGACAACTTTGGGTCTTCAGAGAGCTGGAGTGCATTGCTGCTTCGCCATAATTTTCTTACACGTTGCCAGGAAAACCCTGGCATGTGCCAACAGGAAAATCTTGCTGCAAATTGACTCAGAAGCACGAGCAGAGCAGAGTCAGATGTGGCTCCTGCTGCCCCAACTGACCTTACCACCCCTCTCCCACGAGATCCTTCAGGAGTTTGTTCTCACAGCAGCCAGGTTTGCACGGAACGTGAAGCAGCTCCCAAACGCCCGCTGGTGCGGTGAGGTAACTCCTGCTCAGCGCTGCTCTGCTCTGCCACTCCGAGCTACAAACCGCAGCAGTTCACGTGCTGCTTCTCATGTGGCTCACACATCCCTGCCGCAGGGGTGGCAGCCCCAGGAAAGGAACAGGGCAGAGCAGCAGAAGGTGGAAACCACGTTTGCCGTCCAGCTCTAATCCATGCGGGTCCCCTCACACGGCCCTTCTGCACTCCACAGCCCCACCTGTGGAAGAGGGATGCCTCTTTCTGCTTCAGGTGCGTGGCCCCACACAAAAAGCACGTTACCCATTGGGGAGCAAACATCCGAGTGCCACGGGGACAGAGGTCCCACACAAGTGCTAACAGAGATGAAGGGAAAGCTCCGAGGGACCAAGAGGCTGTGGCAGATGGCCTTTCCACTTCTGCCAAAATGTCTGCGTGGAATGACCTCTTCTGGGCGTTTTCCCTTAACATGATTACAAGTACGCAAGAAATTTGATGTAATCAGGTCTAAAACCCCAGCGGAAACATCATTGTCCAAGACAGTTTAGCTGATGCCTGAGTTACTTGACTACGCTTACCTAACTGTAAATATTTCTTAGTTTTCAGCTCAAGAAAGCATTCTCTAGAAGCGTTGCACCTAACGACTCAGACACTAAGAAAGCCAGCCCTAGAATTTAACCGTTACGAAGATTTTAATATCCTGTCTTCACTGCAGGCTGCCTTTTGAGGCATCCAACAGAGTGGTTAGGATCTTGGTATAATTGGGGTTGTAAAATGAAAGGATGAGTGCGTTGCTGTGCAGGCACATTTGCTATTACAGCTGGAACTGGGTGACATTTCACAATTTTTCCAAAAGAAATCTCAATGAAAGAAGAGAATCCATTCATCCAAGTTGCTTGTAAAAAAAAAAAAAGCTTCTCAAAACCTCCCTGAAGTCAGAACATCTTCACTTAAACCAGTCTGTAAAACACAGGCGAGACCATTTTACTTGGCAGCGTAAGTTAAGACTTGAAACTGAGTGTGACAACGTTTCCTACCCCCTTCTTTCACTTCACACAAGCCCAATGTCAAAACCCCAAACCAAAACAAGATTGGAAAGCTGATCTAGCTGAAAAGTAACCCAGGCAACAAACAACAACACATGGTAAATGCACGTCCAGCTACACCCTCAGCCACATCTGCAAAGCGCTTATCCTCAGTGGCTGCTCTGAGGGATAAGATATTATCCCCCTGGCAGAGACAAGGGACCGTGGGCTGTTTTCATCATGTCTCAGTCTCAGCAGAGGGCAAGGCTGGGACACCCCAATCCCAGGCTGATAGTGCTCACCACAGAGCCTTCCTTCTGTCTGATCTGCTCTCTCTGAGGATGGGCCTTTCTTTTAAATGTCTATCCAACAGCTCGTCTGAAAGCCTGGCTTGGGTGGTCTCATGAGACTGCTGGAAGATTAATGAAGAATAATAGGTGCCAGCTAGCACGGGGCAACGTTTCGCCTTGTTCATACAAACCTTGGCAACGAGCACGTGCTCTCTGCAGTCCAACACCTTGCAGGTCACAGGGCGAAAGAACAGGGCGCCTCCCCTCAGGATACTAGGGGCACTTGGGCAGCAAAACAGTCAGATGACACACAACGGGACTGACCTTCGTCTCCACACACGAGTTTCTTCACCACACAGGGGATCTCCATGTAGCCAAAGGCCTTCAGCTGCTCCACCTGCTGAGCCGTGATGGGATGTTCCCACATGGCTGTGTTCATAGCTGGGCAGAAGAGCAGAGGTTTGCGCAGGTCCCAGGCACGGATGACACAAGTCTGCAAAAGAAGCCAAGAGGTTGGGCTCGGAGATGTTTTCTTCCCTCATTCTGTCTCACCTCTTTGCTGCACAGAAGCGCTTTCCCAGCTCGGCTATCACGAGAAGGCCAAACGCATCCATCTGTCAGCACAGCTGGACTAACCCGTGAGCAGGTCCACGGGGCTGCTACTAATTTGTGTTACATTCCAGCAGAGCTCCTCTCTGACAGGCGAGGAGGACGAGGGAGGCTACAAAGAGAAGAGATTCCATCCTACGCTGGATCAGAGCCAAGCAAGACATCCCAGTCGCTGGAGCAAACCACGCTGGAACGCAATGCATGCAGCCAGCCCTTGCGGGAGACCAAGAGAAGCTGAGGGGTGGCCACAGATCATATCAGCTACAGAGAAATCCCCAGGCAACGCTTCAGATAAGCCAGCTGTGGAGCTAAACAGAAAGAGTTGGCAAGTCAATCTTCTCAAACAGCGCGCCAACTGGATCCCCAACGGCTGACGAGGGAAGCGCTGCCGCTTCCAGCATTCACAAGGAGGATTACACGAAGCTATCTGCGCTGCTGCAGAAGATGCTGGTAGATTACCAACCACCCAGCAGCTCCTGCATGCTGCAGAGGCTCACATCTGAGGCCGCAATAACATACAGCTTCCAGATAAGCTCCTATCACCTCATCTCCTTCGAAAGATAAGCAGTGGTTGCTCTTAAACAGTGCAGTGCCCTTCAGTGTCCCTAGCCCTGCCAGCTCAGGGATGCAGAGGGAGCCTCCCAGGCAGCTCACGCTGCTAGCAGGGGCTCTGCTGGGTTCACAGCACTTCGGAGCAGGCTGCCCATCCTTTTTCATGCCCTGTGATCTGAACCCTTTGTGGCACAGGGGAAGTCTGCCAGAATCTGTTCTAACTTGCTAGCCAACGCCTCTAGCACTTGCTTGTCTTTACCGGAGCCACCTCTTCCCTTCCCAAAACCATCCAGGACTGGCAGGGGTTCATGAAGCCATGTCCCTAACACCCTTCCTGAGCTCTTCCTCTGTTGGCTACGGTACAAAGGGGGCTCAGCAGGACAAGACGTTGCTTGTCCCTCTCTCAGCTCTTTCTGGCTTCCCCGGATCTCCAGCAAGCTTCCCTGGATCTCCAGATGCTGCAAGGGCTGTAGCTCTGGGTGTACTGTGCTCATTTGTAGGCACTCTTTCTTACCTAAACAGCTAAGCTAGTCGCATACGGCTCCCTAGCCAGAGCTGATGTGCAGCCCTCTGTTCCTAAATCTATGGATTTAGGAACGAGGTACCTAAGGGGTGATGCAGCATTTGCACTTCTGCAGCTTCCTGGCAGATCTTCCAGGTGCTTTATCCGTATGACCTTTCCTGATGATGGCTCGACACAAGGCACTGAAGCTACACAAAAGTTCCTGCTCACTGAACCGAGAAGCACGCTCTCTTTTAATACAGTTTCTGATCAGTCTTTGAGCCAGAGCACCTTTAGTTCCAGAAAAACAAGCCTGAACAAGCAAAAAATTAAATAAAATACCATAGCTGAAACTGGAAGGTACGTAAGTGTGCACATGTTTGAATTTCTGTGCTATGCAGTTAGGTGAGGGAGGAGGTGAAGTAGCAGGAAGTAAACAGTTTTATCTGATCTCACAGGTGTCTTTCCAGCTTACATCTAAAAAATGCAGAGAGGAACTCAAAAGTCAGAGAGAGAGAGAGAGAGAGAGAGAGAGAGAGAGAGAGAGTGTGATAGAGAGAAAACATGATAGAGAGAGGGTGGAGGTAGGAGAGAAGGATCATCCACTAGAAAAAGCAGGACAGGCACAAAAGAGGGACTGGGAAATGATGGAAGACACCGAGGTAGCCCAGGAATGGAAAGGAACACAGGTCAGGGAAGAAAATAATGAGCGTTTGAAAAGGATCAGGGGAAGCACGTTGGCAGAAGAGAGACAAGCATATGAACTGGCAGCAGAACATGCAAATCTTGACGCTGCTGAAACACAAGAGTTTCCATGAAAGAAAGGTCAGACAGACCAGCGCTGGGAGGGGAGGGAACCGAGGGGCCGCTCTCGGGTAGAGCTGCAGCTACTCACCAGCAGGTTGTCACAGATCCCGGTGGCAAGCTTTGCCAGGGTGTTGGCATCAAGAGGGGCCACCAGCATGAGGTCGGCCCACCGTCTGAGCTCGATGTGCAGGACGGGGTCCGAGCGGCCCTTCCACAGCTGGGGAGGAGACAAGATGCAGGTTATTGAAGCCTCAAAACAAACAGCGGGCACTGCACCGAGCCCACGGCAGTGGCTGCAGCCTCAGCTTCGTTATCCTCACATCCAGCAACATCTGACTGCGCGGGGGGACTGGGGACTGCAGCCACAGCGCTCCCGTTTCTGACTTCCCACCTCCTCCAGCAACGTTTGAGAAGCACAGCTAATGGGTAGTTTCCCCACACAGCCAGCAATTTATGCATCCAACAACCTGGCCAGCTCCCAGCAAAAAGCTTTCTCCATCCACATCCCCCAGCTTCACAGATGCCCAGCACAAAAGCTCCCTTAAGGCGTAGTGCATCTGAGAAGCCCGCTGCATCCTATCAGCCAACCAAACCCAGACAGGACCCAACCAGGGGGAATCTCTGCTGGGGAACCCTCGTGCTGTAGAAGCCTCACCCCTCTTTACTGTCTTCTAGGCACTCTGAAGCCATCCACTGGCTTTTAAAGAGGTTCAGACCCCTAACTGACCCCCTTCTCAGTTAGGAAACACCCTCAGAACAAAATAAAGCCACACAACTGAGCAGGGAGCAGCCTCTAGGAGGGATTAGGTTTGGCCAGCCAGGCACTGCCACCCTCGTGGCTCCCCACAGGCACTTCTATCCTCAGTTAAGCCCAGGGGGGTCCCTGCTCTGCTTAAGAGCACACACAACTGGGACAGCGTTAAGAGAAGCAGCAAGCAGCACCGGGTGCTTCATCCCCAGAGAGCGCACGGCCCCACCAGGTGTGTCAGGGCCATGACCTATTCCTTCTCTGAGTCACTGGAAACCACAACAAAAAGGCAGCATCCGGAAAGCCGGTGCTCCCTGACACCTTTCCCAGCTCTTCCACTCACTTTTATTTTTTCTACAAGCGCTGAAGGTTGTAGTTTTATTTTCAGAATAGAGCATCTCCCAAACATGCTGAGCAGGCTTATTTGCTACCCTGGTGTCAGCAGGGCATGCTATAAAGGCTCCAGGACTCCTTTCCAGTGTGCCAAAGGCCCACGGAGCCTGACTTGCACCTCCACGGCCACACACAGGGCTCCTCCTGAACAGCTTTGCCTGGAGCTGCAGCATCCTGGCACCCAACAGACCTCTGCTGATCTTCTAGACCAGCCAGAGAGCTTCCTGGCCATTGCTCCCCTCCACATGAAAGCAACACTTGCGTGCGAGTGCATCTGCAAGAGAACTGCTAAAGGGGAGATCAGCTCATGCTCACATCAGTGCTGCAAAGATGACAGAAGACGTACAGAAAAACAAATGTCGACGTTTATACATCTCTCCATCCCAGAATCTCTCAAAGCACATCAATAAAACCATGTTCAAGAGAAAATAATTCTATAGAAAAGAGCCAAAAAGATGCCACCGGCCACTGTTATTAGTGGATCCTGCGGGATGTGCTCATCCATAACTGGTTCGAGGGGAAAAACTGGTGAAAAAGGTCAAGTTGACAGCACGCTGCTAAAATTCAAAGGACAATGGACTGATCCCTTCCACATACACACCTCAATGTGGATGCCTTTTGAGCTACGCACACTGCTGCCAGCAGGAGAACATCTCTTACAGCCAGCTGCCCACCACAGGGGCAAGAGGAGGACACTGCAGCAGGCCCTGCTGGCATGAAACTCCCCAAGAGAGGCGGCCCCACAGGCAGCTCAGACGCAGCACACGCCAGCTTTGGGGCTCTCCCAAGGCGCAGGCAGATCTGGAGGACGCAGAGCAAGAAGCTGCAGCACGCAGGCAGTGGTGGCTGAGGTTACCCAGCCGGACACAGAGCTGAGCTCTGAAGCAGCCTGGGTAGTTTTGTGATCGTCAGTGGTGCTGGCAGATTTAGCATAGGCAGCGAGAAGGAGAATTCAGCTGCTGCCTTCCTGACGAGTATGAGTCATGGCAAGCAGCTGACACCCTCACCACCACTTTGCAGTGGCTTTCTTGACATTTCCTGATGCTCCTCGCAGCGCTGCAGAGAGCTGCTAAGCCCAGGGTGGTGAGAGACCACTTCTACCCACAGTGCAGTGCCTGCTGCAAGCCTGCTAGGGCGGTACCAAACCCTCTGGTGCAGCCACGGCCGCCTCGCTCACCTCTCCGAAAGCCCTGCCCCAGAGCATGCAGCGCGCCAACAAAGAGGTGAGCCTCGGCCAAGAATCTAAGGAATGTGGTCCCTCATGAAGAAAGGCGGAGGAAGGCTTCGATTTGCTGTTAAGCACTTGAACAACGGAGTGAAACCTCTGCGAGGTCTGCCTGCTGCTGAAGCAGGACCCGTTGGTCAAAGCAGGAAGCAGAAGGCCCAAGTGCATGATGAAACAACTTGAATCACAAGACACGAGGCTGGAAGGGCCAGGAGAGGAGCCCTTGCCCTCTCCAGAGGTAGCGCTACTCACCTGCCATTCATCTTCATCGCTATAGAGGGGGACAGGAATCTCCTGGGGGTTGTAGAAGTGCTTTGCCCTCTCAGTAGTGACCACCTTCACCTCCACCTAGGCAGAAAGCAAAAAGACAGACCAACAGTTACACCCTGAGGCCAATCCTGCACAGGAGGGCTCGAGCAGCAAAGATTGAGAAAGATTCGTGGGTCCGCAGAGGATGTTCCCCTGCTGCGTGCACGTGCTCTAACCGCACCTACCCCAAGCAGAAAGGTCAGGCTGCTGGAGGTGCTCACGGGGGCCGAAGCCTCGTTTCATCGCCACGCAGCAGCAGGCAGGTGATTAGTCACCGCCTGCCAAACTCGTTCACACGGCCAGTTCACGGCCGGGACAGCAGCAAGCGCAGAACCGAGAGGCAGAACTTCAAAGGGACGGCACGGAGCAGCAAAGCGCAGCGCCACGAAGGTGCCCTTTAATCAGGAAACGCCCGCCGAAGGGAGCAGCAGAGCATCCTGCCTCGGTGGATTCCCTCAGCCACCGCAGAAAGGGGTGACGTGCCCGCACGGCCCTGCGGGATCGCTCTTCCCACACTCGGAGCCAAGAGGAAGCACGGTGCTGAGCTGCCACGGGTCCTGGCAGCTGGGACCCGGCAGCACCAGGGCAGAGCAAGCCCATCCCTGCAGAACAAGGCTCCACAAGAAGCAACAGCTCAAAGCTCCTGCTTCCCAGGGCGTTTGTGAAGCAGCAGGATGTCAGCTTACCTGTGCCCACCGTGCCTGTTACGAAAGTGATAACATTCTGTCTGCCAGGCAGAGCCTTTGCTTTGGAACAACAAGCGTGATTTCTTGGTCTTTGTTACATTTTTCCCTTCAATTCCTCTCTCTGCCTCAATTTCTTCCACCCCTGCCCCTCTCTCTCGACAAGGGAGGCACCACCAAAGGCAGGGAGGTACCTACAGACTACCAGGCACTATTTCTACAACCACGTTAACCCCCCTTGCTCCAGCCAAGGCAGCAAGCTGGGGCAGTGCCTTGCAGCTGCTGCGCCAATCAAGGAAAGATGCTGGAAACAGTAAAAGCTCTGTGCAGGTACGGTCACAGCACAGGGCTCCTGCAGCTCACACAAGGAAAAGGAGACTGCATATAGTGCCTGAGGGTTCTCTCCCAGCTCTTAGCCAAACCTGCCTGCCTTATGGGAAGCCAGCTGAGCCTTCAGGTACATGGCATGCACTGGGGAAGTCCCAGCACGTCCCTTGGATGTCTGACACACACAGTTAGGAGGTGCCAAGGTGCCTATGACAGGAGATCCTTTCATTTCCTCCTGCAGGAATCTTAGCAGGTGGAAAAAGTGGAATTTGCCCCAGTTTCTGCACGCCCCACGACCAAAGCTGTGCCTCTGACAGGTGCCACAAGCGGCTGCTGATGTACCTCACACCACCGATAACCATAAGGAAATAATTCTTTTCCTCTTTATCACCCCATTCTGACCGTGGTCTGCACCTCGAGACAGCTCACGGCACCACCCACACTGTGGTTCAGTTACACCAGCAGCTCCCAGCTCCTGCGAGGTGCCTGCTCCTTTTTGGGCAGTCCTAGCTCAGAACCACGGCTGCATTTCTGGGGCGTTCGAGTGTGAACGTGAAGATCACGCTCACAGCAATCAACCACGTCACATCTGTATTAGCCTCACCTTGCAGAAAGCTGTTTGGAGCCAAGCAGCGATGCCACCGAAGGTGCTAACGCTGCTTTCTGCCATCCCCTGGGCTTCGAGGAGGTGTTAACCTCACAGGCTGCAAGATACTATTTATTTGGTGATTTTAAAGAGTTTAAAGGGGTTTGTCAGCTCTCCGAAATTATACCAGTAGGCTGCATCTGTGCTAAAAGTTCTCACCAGCAATGTTTGTTAGTGCTATTCCTACTTACAGAGCCATAACGATACAAGGATTTGTGGGTGATGCAGCTGCACCTAACCCCATGACATATTTTGTACCTTGCTGCTTCAGTTGTGCCAGTATCCAAAATGCGCTAATTTAGACCAGTAACACCTGGTCAAAATGCTAAGGGACACAAAAAAAATCCACTTTGCTTTTCTTAATTTTTTTTTAAAGACAGTTTCATAACCACCTCTGGTCTTAAATAAATAAATAAATAAAAACCTACTTCTTCAAAGCTGAAGCCCAGGACCAGGAAATGGCTGGCTATCAAGAACTGCGTCCAACCCACTACAAGGCAGGGCACAGCAGGGGGCTGTTCGAGGACTGTGCGTGGTGGTAACTCCACCACTCCCCCAGGAAAGCTGCTCTAGCAGTTTAATTATCCTCTCTGATTGAGGTTTTCAGCTGGGGTGGGCTCCTGGATCCCTCGTTCTCTGCAAGTGTTTCAAGTCCCTCCAGCTATGTTGGAAAGAGATCAGTGCTCTCAAGATTGTTTTAGCCTACATAGTTTTTCCTTCTATTTACCTGGCACACCCTCTGTTTGACTGTGGATATCCCTCTGCTTAAGCTCTAAATCTCTCTGGCCCCACTCACAAACTTGCGCAACGTGCTTCAAACCTCCAAGGCCAGATGACATCCAGAAGCTTCAGTAACAATAGCTGTCACCCGAAAGAAGTTTGCTTTCTCCTTTCTTATTAACTAACTGATATCCCACCGATGTGATTCTTTGGCGTTGTTTTCCTGCCAGGCCACCACCCAGATTACTAGGGATCAGGCTGAGACAACGTGTGTGAGTCCAGCACAGCCATGAGTTCCCCAGGCATCCTGACAACGTGCCACGTGCTATCTCCTCACAAAAAAAAAAAATAATAATAAAAAAAGAGGCAAGGGTAAAAAGCTGAAAAGCGTAAGCTGATGCCCTATTGATTTCCAGATCTTCAGAGAGCTTAAAAGACAGTAACATGTAGCTGTGTCAATTATCACCCTCAAGGACACGTTAAAGCTTAATGTGTGCAAAATTGTGCCACCAAGTTGTTGGCTGAGAATCATTTTAGCAGAAATGACAATTTTAAACTACTCTCATTTCAAACCTCTGGCTGCATCTCTGCTGGTACCAAAGCCTTCCTCCGCCTCTGCCCTGCTTCCCAAAGTTCTGCTCTGTCAGTTAATGCAGCAGGCCTTAAACTTGACTGAGAAATTACACTGACCTCACCCACCAGGCTTTAGATCAGGCAGCAAAATCACATCAGAACTGAGTAAACAAATAAATTTAACTAACAAAACTGATATGAGAAGCTCCTGGACAGACTGAATACTCGTTTGTCTTTTATTTTTTACGCAACACAGCCTAAAACCAGTGGCCACAAGGCCTCCAACAGATGTCACAGAGCACAGAATTTAGGACCAGCCATCTGCAGCTGTTAATTATGCATCAAAAGCTGACAGAGGAGCAACGCATTTGATCTCGATTCCTACAGCAGACCATTTGCATTCTTCCTGCCACTTCCAAAGGGCATCCCCAGTGCCAGGAGCAAGGGAAAAGAGACCACAGCGAAGTGGATCCAAGGCAAGAGGACGAGAGGATGCGTGCCCTGCATCCCTTGCTAAGAGGATGACGGCTGGAGCTGGCTCTGGGCTGGTCACCCACTTCCTCAGCACCATTTGGCTTCACCCCCCTGCTCCAAGCTAGGACCTTTGGCCTCAGTAATTATTTCAGGTCAAAATCATTTCGAAAGGACATTCAGCAGGTACTGTAACCAAGAGCCGTGGATATTTAATGCACACTCTTGCTCCTGCTCCTCTTTCATTTTGCTGCTCCAAAACAGACGCTTTGCTTCTTAAAAGCTCCAGGCTTCTACAGTTTCCCCTACCTTCACTCTAAAGCAAAAGTTACCACACTTCCTTCCCTGACTCTAGTCACTAGTGGCCTCTGCTGGACACCTCTGTTACTCCTAACAACAAACTCGAGTTAAAAAATAAATAAAAATGCTCAGACACACATACTGGCTTGGATCTCCTGTTTCTACAAGATCTGGTTGCTCTTTGCTGGTCAGACGGCAGCGTCCCTCTTTGTAAAGCCCACATCTCAGCTACCAAAAATTGCAGGGTCCTAATTAAAAATGTTAACCTCCAAAAAGCATCCACCTGTGTCTGCAGCCAGGGCTGCCCAGGGAAGTATCTAGGAATAGTGGCTGCCCTTTAAACCTAATTTCAAGCTAAAGCTTAAGTGTAGAGAAGTAAGAAATGATATGAAAAGAAATATTGATTTTTAAAAGCAGGAGGAACCTGTCCCAAGTTTCAAACAAAAGGGCTCAAGGCCAGATGGAACTCTTCACTTCAGCAGAAGCCATCCAGTCTCTCCTGGAAACCAAAAAACCAGGATAGCACCAGCTCTACCGATAAGATTTACTCACCCCAGGTATTTTCAGCAATTCAGAGATGAGGAGAGGCAGCTTCAGGGCAGCCACACTGCCAGTCACACCCACCAGGACACGGAATTTTTTCTCTGGCACAGACGAACCCGTTTCTGCAGCTGCCTTTGGTTCTAGAGGTGAGAAGGGCTCCATGGTCCAGTCAAACTCTAGGAGCACAGAAATATAAAAGAATTTTAGCACAGCAGGTACTCCTGAAGTACTCCCAAAGACACAGGTCTAAGCGTGGGCTATGCAGGACCCAGAGCAACTCGGTCTGATGCTGAACATTCAGGCCCTGATCCACAAAGCTTTTATTTTATTAAAGGCACCCCTTTAAGCACAGGAGTAGCCGGACTCCTCCCATTTTCCTTACGTACAGGTTCTCTGGGACAACAGTAAACAGAATGCCAGAAATTACACAAGCTCGATGCTGTTGGTAAAGCCAACAGCCCCCAGAACAGAAATATGCCCTCTTGTGGTGGACACGGCACAGACTGCAGGCAAGACACGCAGCCCAGCTGAGTCGTGCTCCCTTCACGCTCTGTGGAGAAGAATAAACGCAGGTAGACATTTCAGGAAGTAAAAATTCTGGGGGGCCTCAGGCAAGCATTAGAGCTCTACTGCCCATCGTATTAATGCATATTTACAGTAGCACTAGGAATTACTCTGTGTAGATCGGGCAAAAAAGACCCAAACTGTGAATAAAACATAAACCAAACCAGCCACTATGTACAAACACTGTAGGAATGTGAAAGCCAGAACCACTCACTCATCCCCCACTGCCAGCCAAGGCTACCTAGAGGCCTAGAGGTTGTTTTTGAAGGCGTGTGGCAAGCAGAGATGATTCAGAATGCTCTTCTGCCATCTCTGAGTGTTCTGCCACGCTGATAAGTCACTAATGATAAATCACTCACAAGTATTCAGTAAAAGAAAAGCACTCCTCTACAGAATCCATATGAACGTCTCTATTAAGTCTTGAAACTAACAAAGAGCAAGCTCTCTTATGTAAAACATCTGAAAACTGTACGTTAGTGAAGGCATCACAGCAGGATTCAGTGAAACTAACCTCATTACTCAGAGGAAGTTACCTGGAAGCATTTTGGGTAAAAGAGAGGAAGGAAAAAATCTTAACACCAGCTTTATTTTACGCACCAGCTTGGACGTTGGAGTGAGGCAGCTGGGTTCCCTGGAGAACATTTACCTCTTGGTCATTCCCAGAGCTCACTCAGATCCAAGTTTAATTTAGGATCCTTCATGGGGCGATTCAGATCACGCTCGGGCAACAGCTACACAGGAGCCTGAGCCACCAAGAGGCACAAGCACCAGGATCCTCACTAATTGCCTCAGCCCCTCAGCCGAGGCACGAAGGGAGCCGCACATCCTTTCTCCACGCTCCACTGGGAATTCATACGTTGTGCTCAGGCCCCTGGGGTTTGTCAATGTGGCTGAAAAAAAAAAAAAAAAAAAAAGGCAAATAAAAAAAGAGCTAGGACAGGAGCACAATTTCAGCTTGACCTTCCAGGCACTGCTTACCACGAGAAATTACAGAACGGGATTATCAGTGTACGTAGCGGCTAGGGTGGTCTGATACCACAGCGGCACTTCACGTGCTTACCTAACGAAAATTAAAGCTATCGCAAGCTGCCCAGAGATGAAAACTCTTATTAAGTAACGATTAATTCACCGAAGCACCCCCAAGCTGAGCTGTAGGACACAGGCCGTGAGGGCTGCTGGAGGCACCGCTCCCTCCTCTCCCCCTCACAGCCCTGGGGGGGGGAGCTAAGCGCGAAGGGCGCACAGAGCAGGCGGCCCCTCAGCGGCGTTACCGGCTCCTTAGCTCTGAGAACCGCTCCTAACGGCTGCCGAGGCCGAAACCGGCCGGGAGGAGCCCGGCGGCCTGCAGGGCACACACGGGGAGCCCGGGGAGAGGGCCCGGGGCCCACCTGCGGCCTACCCGCGGCCCGGCCCCGCTCCCCGCCCTAGCAACGGGGGCACAACCCGGAAGAGCGCAGGGCACGCTGGGAAATGTAGTCCCGCGGCGCCGCCATGAGGCCCAGGCCCCTCAGGGGCTCCCAAAAAACACAGATTTACCCCAGCACAGCCTCAGGGCCCCGTGGGGCAACGCCGCACCCCGCTCTGGTCACCCGCACCACAAACACCCCGTTTTCTCCCAGCCCCAAGGCCCCCCCATTGTCAGTGCCCAGCCCCAGGCGCTATAAGCGTGCGTTATTTTCTGGTGGCAGCCCAGCCCCGGGGGGGTCGTTGTGTCCCTGCCCTGCTGCAGGCTGGCCAGCTGCATTTCCCCACCCCAACACCCTGAGCTGTGGGGTGAGCATCGTCCTGTCAGCCCCAGCAGGAGCGCTGGCTCGGGGTGGTGCTTGATGCGTGTCCCAGGCAGAGGAGTCGCTGCTAGGGGGTAAAAATTGGCTGCTAGGGGTTAAAAATTCACTGCTAGGAGTTAAAAATTGGCTGCTAAAGGTTTAAATGAAAAGCATACAGGAAGAAAGTGAGAGCAAGGGCACAGGGACAGAGCCCTGGGGTGCAGGGTTACTCCTGGCACCCCAAATGCAGAGCAGAGCTGGGTTAGCACACAGCCTCCCCAAATTTCCCCTGGTGCAGCTGCCAAGTGCCAGCTTGTGGGCACCCCTCTTGTTATTAAATAATCAGTGCAGAAGGGGAGACAAGCCACGGCTCATAACCAAGGCTGCTCCCCCATTAACACAGCTGCTAATTAAAAATGACCACCCTGCGGGCCGGTGTGGTGCCACCGCCAGCTTCCAGCAGGGCAAGGCGCGTGTGGGGTCAGCGAGGGGCCCCGCTTGCACAGAGGAGACACTCGAGAGGAGGGTGAGGTGCTGAAGCAGTGCCTGTTAGTTACAGCGCGTTACAGGTTATCATTTCTGCAGCTCGATATAAACGCGAGAGGTTGAAATCACTTTGTTATTTTGCAGACATGGATGACAGAGCACATGATTTGGCATAGTAAGTTTTAGGCTAGCTAGAAATGAATTGCACAATATTTAAACCTGATTAAGTACATAATAGGCTCAGCAACGGATTACTTTTCTCCTTACAGTTTATACATATATATACACGCATACACAGACAGGCATTTTTATCATTAGCTGCATTTTAGTCTTGTCAAGAGACAACTACCTACTGCCAAATGACTGAAGTGATACTCTTAAAAAGGAAACTATTCTTGGTGTGCTTTGCTGGGAAAAAAAAAAAAAAGATAAATTCCAGTTTGGTGCCATCCCCGTGGGCAGGTCTCGCATCCTGGCACTGCCAAACTGCTGGGGGGGAGGGGGCAGGCAGGGGCACAGCACCTGCAGTACCAGCATCTGTGGGGCATCTGTGGGGCAAGAGGGGTTGGAGCCAGAGGGCTGCATTCCCTTTTGGGCTGCTTTTCTAGGACTTGAAGGAAAAAAATAATGGTTGTTTAAAGTGCATTTAGAGTCTGAAAAGCATCTCTGAGAAGGAGCTTTCCCTCCTCCTGCCCCACAATGTCCATTTGCTCCCATTTACAAACCAGCCCTGAGCCCTGCTGCCTCCCTGCAAGCTCCTCCCTGCAAGCCCGACCTCCCCAAACTGGGCAGGATTTGGGGGCTGGTGGACCAGGAGGACTCATTCTCACAAAGGATCCTACTAGAGCCAGGCAGCCAAGTTCCACTGCACTGCTTAGGAGTACGAGCAAGGAGGAGTCACTCCCACCAGCCCAGAGCTTCCCTTAAGAGCTGCGAGCCAACAGGGAGAAGTATTATTATTTACAGCATCGGCGGGGCTGGTTGTATGTGGGGTGGCAAGATTGCACCAAAAATAGGTCCCAGGAGAGACACTCTGCCAGGTTTTGCCAGTTTTAGTTCTGAAATAGAAGCCTTTAGAAAACAGGTCCAGGACACGGGACCGGGCTGGTCTCAGCCCCCAGAGAAAACCTGTCCTCATTCCCCAACATGCACGCACCCATGCACACAGCAGCTCTCACCTGCAGCCACGCCAAAATAATACTGCTCTTCCACAGCAAAATGTAAACTACACATGTACAACACCACGCACTGAGAGAAGGTGGATGGAGATCCTGAGCCAGGGATTGGATTAGGAATCTCTTGGCTTCCAGCATGTCAACAGCAGGGCTGAAGGGTTCTCTCTCTCCTGTTTTAAAAATCAGCTAAAACAACTTTTTTTTTTTTTTTTAAATGGCTAAATCAGCCACCTGCTAGTTAAAAAGCAGAAGAAAAGAATTCCCAGGATTGCTTGCCCTTGCTGAGACACTGGCAAATGGCTGGATTCTACCAAGTGAAAGGAAACTCACACGTCAGAAACCTGTAGTTCAGCTCTTATTTAGGGGGGAGATGGGTGCTGGTCACTATTTTGTGATCTTTCCCTTTTGGGGGGGGCTTTTGGCTGATGTAGTTCTAACACACACCTATCACCACAGTAATTAAAAAGTCACCACCGTGCACTACTTCACAGGGAAAAGAAGACACAGGAATGTACATGTACTATCACGCACAGCAAGAGTCCTGCAGGGCAGCTCACAGCCTCTTCAGAATGAGGAATAAAAGAGAAATAAAAGAGAAGGAGCTTGAGGTGATGAGGGGGAAAAGGGAAAAAAAAAAAAAAGAGTAGGTTCTGTTACAGAGAACAGGGAAAGATGATGGTTCGCTCTGGCTTTCTGCAACAGCTGCAGGAACTCGACTCAGCCTTCCTCCTCCTTCCCCCCCAGTGCTTTCCTCCCGCGGACGGAGCCCCGCGGCTCACATCTCGTTGGAGTAGGTGTAGTTGGGGGTGGCCGAGTACTGCGTCTCGTGCTGCATCATGGCCCCCTGCGCCGCCCCCATCGCCGCGCTCTGCGCTGCCTGCTGCACGTGCGGGTTCTTCCAGGCGCCCGTGGTCCACTCCTCCTGAGCTTTGCTGAAGCTCCCGCCGCTCCCCCGGTAAAACTTGTGCACCTGGAGCCGAGAAGAGGTTGGAAAGAGGGGAAAAAAAAAAACAACACACAGCCAGCGCCCCACCGCCACCACCCCACCGTCGTACCATGGTGAGGGCGATGAAGGAGAAGACCGCCATCCCCGTGAACAGGATGGTGGGGATCAGCATCACCACGGCCGACCCCACGTTGGTCCCGAAGAAGGAAATCGCCGCAATCCAGCCGCTGCAAGGAGATGGAAGCCACCATGCTCAGCACCCCCAAGGGGAGAAGCTGCCCGGGATGTTAAGACCCCGAGAGGCAGCTTTCCCCTTTTTTTCTCCACCCCACCACGCACAAACACCTCCCCTGGGTGCCCAAGCACCCGTGGGAGAAGCGAGGTCCTTACCAGACGCCCCAGCCAGGGATTCCCACAGCCTGGATGATGCTGATCACCAGCTGGGCCATGAAGGTGAAGAAGAAGGCCATGAAGCTGAAGGAGCTGTCTGTCCTGCAAGAGAGGGCTCCGTCAGCTCCTGCACCTCCTTCCCCGCTGCTCTGCCCACACAGGGCTCCCCCAAACAGCCTCATGGTAAAGGTTAGGAAGTACAGCTAGAAGGCTGGCCAGGAAGAGCAGAAATTCCCCAAATATTCAGGCAGTGCCTCAAGCTAAGCACCGCGTGGAAGTTTCCAAAACAAAAAACAAAACACAAACCTTGAGAAGCCAGGCTCAGGTGTGACCACTTACTTGAAAGCTTTGTAAATAGGTCTAAACCAGCAGACATAGGAGCAGGGCGTAAAGAGAATGAGCCAGAGAATTGCCAGTCCCAAATTAACAGCTCCGCCGCCTCCAATCAGCCATGCGAGGCAGCCAACGAGATTCACCGCCAAGGTGATGCTGTTCACTGCAAACACACACACACACACGCAGAGGGAGCAGAGTAGCGTGCACGAGGAGGGCGGCGTGATCCCAAAACCCTACGGCAGCTCCGACCCCCCAGAGCCCCCCAGGGGGACTCATCCTGCCCGCGTTTATGTGCGAGATGGGGGAAAGTGCTCTGGAGACAGAGCTGGCTGGACACACAGCTCCAAAAACCAACAGGCATGAGCTGAGGGGGGATTTAACACCCCAAAACAGCTTCCCCAAGGAAGCACAACTATTTTTCTCCCCCCCTCCTTTTTGTGCAAAGGTTACAAGAGCCCTCCTGGCATGCAGGGGGATGTTAGAGAGACCGGGGCGAGCTGAAGGGGTTAGAGAAGAGCAGTGGCTCTCAGCACCGAGCACGGCACACACATGCAAAGAGAAAGAGGCAAGGCTCTCGGAGGAATCCAGCCCACGCATCTGGCTTCACGCTGGACGTGGGCACGAGGGTCAGGGCTTCTGGGAGCCCACAAAGGGGTCACCAGGAGCTTGGGGCCATAGAGAAAGCCCCTGGCTGCAAAGGAAACCCAAAAGGCTTCGCTGGCAGCAAATCCTCCATCACAATGGTGGGAAATCCAGGGGATGCTGCACCCCTGCCCCATCCCCAAAGGGTTTGGGCAGGAGACATAAACGCCCAGGGGGCAGGAGGGGGAGCAATGTCCGTGTTTTGGGGCCGGGGACCCGCAGCCCGTGTGGAGGACAGCCCACACTCACGCATCCAGAGGTAGTAGAGCCGCTTGGCCATGGTGCGGTGCTGCGGCGGGATCTCCGCGTCGAAGTCCTGGTAGAAACATGGCTTCAGGGGGATGAACTTGGGCAGCGGGGGGAAGTTGTTGGCTTTCTCTGAAAAGAAAACCCCCAAAAATGAGTCAAGAAGGGGCACCTAGCAGGAATCACCCCAAGCCCCCATGGAAAACCCCATACCTGCCATGCTGGCACACTCTCAGCTGAGAGAACTCTGCAGGGAAGCTGGAGAGGAGCCGGGAGCTGTGTGAAAGCTGGAGAAAAGAGAAAAAAGAGGGAAAAATAAAGCGGGATGTGGAGAAAGGCAAAAGAGGACACGGCCCTGCTAGTGGTAGGGGCTGGAACCAGAGGGTCCCCGAGCTCCCTGCCCACAGCCTCGTCTCCGGGATAAACCCTGCTCCCTCCGCCCACGCCGACACCCTAATTAACCCCTCATTAATCCTAATTAACCCCTCATTAATCAACGAGGATTTGGCCACGGGTGGGGGGGGAACCCACGGGAGGGGGCACCCACGGAGAGGGGGGGGTGAGGACAGGACACCCACGCGTGTCCCCCAGGCGGGCTGGGGTGGGCCCAGCACCCCCACACCCCCTCAGCCCCCTCCCCACCCCCGTCATATCGCGACAGTCGCGAGTGGGGCCCCCCACGCGCGTCGCCGGCGGGCTCCCCACGCGTGTCGCGACCCCGCGGGCTCCCCCCGTGGCTATGGGGTAAAAAAAATAATAATAAAAAAAAACAAAACGAGGCCCCCCCGTGGCCGTGGCCGCCCCTCACCGTCCCCACGGGCCCGTCGCGGGTGGCGGCGGCCGCCCGGCGCCGCTCCTGCCGCAGCGGCCGCGCTCTCGCGAGATTTCGCCGCCCCACGCACGCCGGCGCCGCCCGCAAGTCTCGCGAGAGTTCGGGAGCTGTCCAGGGTCCCGCTGCCGCCCGGCGGGCCCTGGGGGGGGGGGGGGGGGCTGTGGGGTCAGGGGGTGCTGTGGGGCTGAACAGCAAAAAGTACCAAAAAACACCAAAAAATGTTAAAAACGCCAAAAGACACGGGTGTCCTCTGTCCCCTGGGGGGGTGGGGGTGGTGAAGAGCCCGGGGGGGGAGGCGGGTGGTGGGGTCTCCTGCCAATGGGGTGCTGCAGCGAGGCAGCGCTTTTGGGGCATTTCTGTGGGGAAATGGTGCCTGTGGTGCCTTCAGGGCATGGGCACAGCGTTAGGGTGACGTGGTTGTGCGTCAGTGCTGTTAGCAGGGCGCTGGGAACAGCGCTGGTTCCCCTTGCTCATAAGGGATGGCTGGGAGGCCAGGGGGGAGGGCACAGCCAGCACCCCCAAAACATTGGGGACAGCCAGCGGGGACAGCCAGGAGCCCAGGCCCAGCAGCACACCCCCACCAAACACAGCATTCATCCCCAAAAACCCCTACCAGCCAGGTCCAGTAGCTCCTGGATCAATCCACAGGCTGAGCTCCCATCCAGGAGGCCCCAGAGCTGGCGCTAACCCAGGCCCCACAAACCCCAAACTGTGGGGAAAGCCCCAGGCTGAGCTTAAACAGAGCTCCTGGACCTGTTGGTTGGGGTCCCAAGGGTTTCTTGGTGCCCTGGGGGTGTAATTCCTGCTCTGCCCCGTCGTGCTGCAGCTCGGTGGAGGGGCTCGCCCCACAGCAGGGGTCCCTGGGTGCGGGGTCAGGGTTTGGGGTCAGAGCGGAGCTGTGCTCCCGAGACCTGAGCCGCCCCGATGTGACGCGCAGATGGGCACCGACTGTCCCCGTATCGCCTGCTCCAACTTTCCGAGCTGCTCCCGCATTCAGCGGCTGAAAGAAAATATAGCCGGGGCAGGCGGAGGGCAGGGCTCGGGTTTCTGCAGCCTCTGCCATCAGCCTCTTCTCCATCTTCACCAATTCCCTGTTTTTTTTACCCAATTCTTTCCCCACCCCCCAGTCCTGCTCCCATTCCTCTCCCACCCTGCTGCTCCCCAGCGTGGAATAACTGCGCTGCTGTCCCCCAGCAGCCGCGCTGGCAGGGTAATGAATGGCTTCGGATGGTAATTAGCGGTGGAGCTGTTAATAACGCAGCTCATTTCCATTTGAAGTGTTGCAGAGCGCTGCGAAAAAATGGACTGCGGGTGGCAGGACCTGGCCCCAGCCCGCAGCTTTCCTTCCTGCCGTGTGCACGGCTGCTGAAATCCTTCCTATTTATTTTCCTGGGGTGGGGGGGTAGCATCTTTTGGGGTGTTTTCCCCCCGCAGCTTTAATCCACCCCGGCCAGGCTGAAGGGAGATCTGACATGAGGGTCCCCTTGTCGTTGTGGTCCTGCCTCAGTTTCCCCTCTTGGTGCCAGCTGCTTTCAGGAGAGGATGCTCTCTCCTTCTCCCCATCCCCACGGTGCTCCCAGCCCTTTACACTATGGGGTGCCCCATTTGACACCATGAGGTGCCCCCCTGTGCATCTGCAGCCCCTTTTGGCCCCCCGAGGCTGGTGGCCAGGACCCGGGGACATCCCAGCAGTGGTGCCCCCTCCTACCCCTTTTAGGGGCAGCAGGGACAGGGCTTACAGACCCATTGGTTTATTTATGGCTTTTGCAAGCCCTGCTTGGGGTGAAAACAATCCCGGGTCCTCCGGAGGGCGATAAGATTTGGCCGCAAGGCAATACTCGGGCATCTCTTTCCACTGTGCAATGATCCCCGGGCAGCGGGGTGGAGGCCGGGGGGGACAGGGGACAGGCGAGAGGTGACAGGGGACAACTGCTGACATTATCGGGCAGCTCTCGGTGCCCTTGAGGGAAGGGACCAGGTTCTCTTTAAGGGGGCAGGACTCCGGGAGCATCGCAAAGCCAGGAGAGAGCTTCTCCCTCTGCCTTGGCAGGGATGGAGGCAGCGGCTGGGTGCTGGCATGGGAGGCTGAGCGAGGGGAGGAGGAGGAGGAGGAGGAGGAGGAGGAGGAGGGGAGGGAGAGGGGGAGGATCTGCTAATTACACCGAGCAGCTCTGGGGGCTGCTGAAGTCCACAATGAAGCAAAGAGCGGCAGAAGCCAGCGCCGCAGCGGGAGCGGAGGAGCCCGAGCGTCACCGAGAGCTGCAGCTGGTGGGGACAAGCGGGGACAGCCGGGGGGTCCCACAGCCACGCAGCCCCCTGGGGACACCCCCAGGCTAAGGCCAGTGGGGGGCTAGGTGCCCGCCGTGCCCACCGGGAAGGGCTGAGCGATGGCAGCCCAAGGAGGGGCAGCCAAGCCCCCAGCCCCAGCCGGGATGGAGAACTTCCGAAAGGTCAGGACGTCGGAGGAGGAGAGCCCCCTGCCCTTCCCCGACCTGCCCCCGGGCGTGGTGGAGATGAAGGTGAAGGAGGGCAGCAAGATCAGGAACCTGATGAGCTTCGCCATGGCCCAGATGGAGCTGAAGGGCAGCCGGCAGATCGTCTTCAGCGGCTGCGGCCGGGCGGTCACCAAAACCATCACCTGCGTGGAGATCATGAAGCGCAAGCTGGGGGGGCTCCACCAGGTCACCAAGGTGCGCTACAAAACCTTGCTGGAGGTCTGGGAGAACCAGGACCCTCCGCCTGGCAGCGCGGCGCAGAACCTGACCGTCCACAAGAACGTGCCCTCCATCTGCATCCTGCTCTCCCGCGACCCCCTGGACCCCAACCAGACGGGCTACCAGCCCCCCGAGCCCGGCCAGCCAGGAGAAGACCCCTCCAGCTCCTCCACCAAGGGGCAGAAGCGGCCCCCGCCACCTCCCTGCGAGGAGCTGCTGCCCAAAAAGCTGCAGGGAGCCGGCCCCAGCAGCAGCCCCTGGGGCTCGGGGGACAGGGACAGCCAGCTAGAGGGCCACCACTGACCTGCCACCTCCTGCTTACAGGGGGGCTCTGGGGGTGCCCCTGGGGGGCTGCTGATCCTCCTGTCCCCAGGGCGGTGGCAATGCCACAAACCACCCTGTCCCCAATCCCAGTTCCCCGTTTCGGTGACTGCCGGCAAGGAGGCAAGGACGGGGGCTGCCTGCAGGAAAACCTCCCCTCTCCAAACTTTTCCTCTGCCTGGCACCGTGTGCGGGGATGCGGAGCTGCTCACACCCCCTGCTAAATAACCCCCTGCCGAAAAGGGCTGCGGACCCCCGGGACTCCTGCAGAGCTGGAGCATCCTTTGCTTTTTGCCCAGCCTGGGAAAAGCAGCACTGCTCCACACCGAGACATCCCAGCCATCAGGAGAGGCAGCTTTGCCCACAGCCCCCTGGAGTGACACCTTCATTATGAAAACCGCTTCGATTGCACCCGGAGAGGAGCTGTCAGGTTTATTAATGCTGGGCTCCGCGCCTCATGGCTCCTGCGATTCATCCCGAATAACACACAAACAAGCGGGTGGGTCGCTTTCTGCCTCTCCTGCCCCGCTACTTGTCTCCCCTTTCCCCTCCGACGTGGCACCGTTTCTATTTTGTGCTTCTCTCTGAAATACCTGAAGCTGATCCATCCCCTCCCAGCACCGCTGCAGCCCGAGAGCCAAGGAAATGAGCCCTGGAGCACTGCTTTTTTTGTTTGTTTGTTTTATTTTAATAGCAGCCCCCAAAGAGAAGAAAATGAAATAATCCTTCTCGTATCAGATATTTCGGGTCTTCACTCTCCTAGAGCTGTTTGCAGGATCCAGAGCCACGGTGAAAGCCTGATGTCGAGGGACTGGGACGATGGGGAGCATCGGGCAGCTCGTCTCCTGCTGCGTGCTGAACGGACACCAGGACGAGGGGGAGCTTGTGCCTTTGTAGGTTTGGCTGCAGAGCCCTCGCCGAGGGCTGTCTCACAGGAGAAAGCCCTTCAGAGCGACCCCTCTGCTTTTACCAGGGGTAAAAGGAAACTAATCGAGAATAAAAGCTCTTTAGAAATAGCTGGGATATGCCTGTGGGAAAATGGGGGGGTCAATTTTGCGACCGCCCGTGGCACAGATGGGCGCGGGGAGGGTGGGACTGCCAAGCCAGAACGGGGGGATCCTGGCCAAACCGTGTCCCCAGGGGACGAGGGATCGGGGCCAGCCTCTCCTGCATGCCCTGGCAGCCACTTGGCCCCCGCGGGCACAGCAGAGCCTGGCAAAGCCTCCCCCAGAGCCCCCATCTGGAAAATCGCTTTGCTTGGCTGGGAGAGGGATTGAAAGGAGAGCAGGGGAGTGAGGAAGAGGAGGAGGAGGAAGCAGGGGGCTGTTTTGTTTGGCAATGACCTTGTTATCTCCCTCAGCAGGCAGCTGCTCCTCCGGGCCAGAGGCTCCCGCTTATCTGCCCTGCTGCAGATTGATTCCTTTCACGGATCTGCCACGGTGTAATTGAACATTAATTACCAATTGTTTCATTTTTTTTGTCTGTGTTTCTTGTTTGTTTGTTTGTTTTTCCATGCAGGGAGATGGGAGGTGTACGGGGGTGGGGGGACATGAGAAGTGGAGGGGGCTGAACAGACCCCATAGCATCTCCCACAGGTTTCCACCCTAAATGAGGCTAAAGAAGGACTTCCTACTATGCATAAAGAGAGGGGGAATCCTGGACATCACAGAGGGTGATGTTCCCCCAAAGCCTCGACCTTGCCCTCACTGATCACAGCCAAGGATTTCTGGTCTCCTAACATGCTGGCCGGCAACGGCAGGACTTTGGGGGCAGATTTATTTAACCTTAACAATGCGGTGGCTTCCCCATCAAACCAAGGAGAGGGGCTGGGAAAGCTTTCCTATCGGATGAGCAGAGCCTGTGTCAGTGGGAGATGGAAATAAAACAAGTTCAATTCACCCAGAGCATCCCCAAATGCTTTGTGGCCTGCGTCCTTTGGTATCCAGCTGAGATTCTCCAAGTTCACAGCATTTTTGCCCCTCGTCACCCTCCAGTGCCACCGCACTGCTTAGTAAACAGTGATTGAAGCACAAATGAGGCTGAGAACTGGGAGTCCTTCATCCTGCTGCCATCTCACGTTGCTCCCGGGAAAGAGAGGAGCAAGGCGAGAGGGAAAAAGAAGTTGGTTGTTTCACCTTATTATTTCGTTAATGTTCAAAATTATTTTTAATTGATTTTGCACGCAGGCAATTTGCAATCCTGGAGGCGACAGGAGCCTGGGGATTTCAAACGCCTCATGCTGCTGGCTGCGTACCAAGGATTTCCTGCATGAGGAAATAGTTAAAAAAAAAAAAAAGACTAACTCGAAATATGAAGCATTTATAAATAGCAGGATGGCATCTGGCTCAACGGGGTCCTGAGGGGACATTGTGAGTGAAAACAGTGCGGGGATTGTGTGCTGCGGAGGCACAGCCCCAGGTGCCCACGAAGAGCAATTTTGGGGTCATTTTGTGAGCCTGGCGGCTTCAGGGGCAGCGGTAGGGACAGCCCCATGGCAGCAGGGACACAACATGGCTCTGAGATACGCCAAGAAGCGCTGCTGTGGGTGGAAACCGAGGCAGAAGCGTGGCCCGGCAGCCAGACTGTGTGCTGGGGTGCCTCGGGCACACGGTGCTTGAGGGAAGGGATTGTCCTGCATGCTGGGGCCGCCTCACCCCGAGCACCGCGTGCAGTTTGGGCACTGGGTGTAAGGACATGAAACTACCAGAGCGTCTGAGGGAGGGCTATGAAGACGGCCAAGGGTCTAGAGGGGAGGATGTGCAAGGAGTGGCTGAGGTTTGCTCACCCCAAAGAGGGGAGCGGAGGGGCAGGCGCTGAGCTCTGCTCTCTGGGGACAGCGACAGGCCCCGAGGGGACAGCACAGAGCTGGGACAGGGGGGGCTCAGGGTGGGTGTGAGGGCGAAATTCTGCACCCAGCGGTGGGACGGGGACGTGGGCACGGCACTTTGGGGTGTGTTTGCAGACAGAAGCGCTTCTGAGACACAAGCTTTGACTTTTGGGTGGTGCATGGAGCCAGGAGCCAGCCCCCACAACCATTCCCACTCAGGACACAACACCCTATTATCCTACACCCTAGCAGGACCCGCTCCCCACCACAAAATGGCGGCGAGCCCCCCCCCCTCCTTCCCCCTCTCCCCCCTCCCCTCTCCCTCCCCACGTGACCGCGCTCGCCGTCCCCGCGGCTTTTTGTCCCCGCGCAGCCTCCGTCCTCCCCCCCCTCCTTCCCCCCGCTTCCCGCCCGCCCTCCATTTCCTCCTCCGAGCGCCCCGGTGCTGCCGGTGCCGCCGCCGCCGCCATGCTGCCCGCCGCCGCCCGCCTCCTCCTCCGCCGCCCCGCCGCCGCCGCCCTCGGGCTCCGCGCCGCCGCCCTCCGCCGCCCCCTCGGCCCCGCGGGTGAGCCCTGGGCCCGCCGCCGCCGCGTCCTTGCCGTGACCCCGGGGCTAGGCCGCGAATGAGGCCCGGTACCGGGAGGGGGGGGGGAACGGGGGGGATTTGGGGGGTTTTTTGGGGTCTGGGGGTGCCCCCGGGCTCGGGGCTGTGGGGTTGGGGAGGTCGGAGGGCAGCGGGGGGGGTGGGGGGTTTTGTGCTGTCTGCTGGCCTCCGGGGGTGGGTTTGGGGTTTTGGGGGAAATTCGTGGGGTTTTGGGGTTGTTGGGGGTTGGTTGGCTCGCGGGGTGGAATGGGCAGGGGGGGTGTGTGTGTGCGGCCCCGGCCTGATCCGCGTGTTGGGTGGTCTGCATGTGAGCACCCCATCGGTCTGGGGGGGGTTTGGGGGTTCTGTAAGCTCAGCTGTCAAATTTTGGGGAAAAAAACAAAATAAAACAGGATTTGGGTTGTGAAGTGTTCAATTCTGATAGCAGGCGTGAGCTTTAGAGAGAAAAAGGTTGGAAAGGAACACAGCTGTAATTGAAAAATGCCACCCTGGAAATCCCAAATTCAGAAATCTTTGTGTTATTGTTTTCCCCCTTTTGGAAAAAAACAAACAAACAAAAAAAACAGTCTAACGGTGTCTGCTAGATTGTCCTTTTGCTTAAGACTGAGGTTTGCAGTCAGCACCCCAGAGCTGTGAGCCAGGCAGTCACCTTTGCTAGGCATATCCAAGGCTATGTGTGGGTTACACAGGATAATGCTGGTAGGCAGCAGTGATGAAGCTCTGGGGTCCCGCGTTTGGGGTTTTTGGGGCTCCTGCAGTAGGGTGATGCCGGCCAGAAGGGGGAGGCCGCTGTCCCAGGGAGCGCTCCGAGCGGTGTCATTGGGGAAGGTCAGCGGGAAGGGGCGAGCGAGGGCGTCAGAGCTCAGCGGCTTCTGCCTGCTCCCTGGTAAAACCACCAAAAAATGCTTTGGGGCAGGTGTAAATCGGGATTGTGACTCAAAGATTGAGCTGTGATAAATTCTGCTCAAAATCCGGGTTGTGTTCCAGCTGGGCCCTCACTCAATGAGGCTAAAAATACTCCTTGATAGCCCTGTTGTGTGCAGTGTAAGTTAAAGCACTGCTTTGGGGGATCCTCCAAAAGGAAAAACGCCTGTGGGAAAGGAGGAAAACACAGCCCAGCCCCATCAGCCATGCAAACAATGCAGGCACGTGGGGTTTTTGCTTGATTTTAAAGAACCCTCCTGGCTGGTCAGGGTGAATAGTTCACGCCGGGTTAGGAAAGAGAAAGTGAGCAGCTGTCTGCAGCTTCCTCAGAGTGGATCTTGGAGCCCTCAAGGTCACAGCCGAGCTCTGCAAACATGGGCAGAGGGAGGCTCCTGGAGGGGCAGAGCAGCTTGCGAAGTACCTGGCTCTGCTTGTAGCCCGGCTGTGGTTCCTCCTGACAAACTGCTGCGACCTTTGAGCCGGAAAAGAAGAGAGCAGCCAAAAAAAAAAAAAAAAAAAAAGCAGCCAAACTTGGCAGTAATTTTCTCTTCTTCAGTAGCCTGTTGGGAGAAATAACTCTTCAAGGGCTTAGATTGGTGTGCTCGTTTTGCATATTTCCCTAAAACAACACTAAAAAACCCTTTATCAGCTCAGAGCTCGTGGTGGAATCGCCGACCTGTTAGGAAGGAGTCGCCCAGCAGGGTGGGTGAGCGAGCAGAGAAATCCTCAGGCTGACAGAATGAGCTACCGAGCAACTGCAGGAGTCGGCTGCAGGGGGAAGATGCTGCAGAACAAATCGGGGCGTTCATCGCAGTTGGATAACGTTGTAACTCCTTGGCTGTGGGCTCTTATTTCGGGGAGGAAGGCTGCTGAAAAGCTCATTAACACAAATCGCTGGGCTCTGGAAAGAGGGAAAATTCCTCTGCCTTATGGAAACGGGTCCCAGAAGGCATCTCTAGAGGGCTGGCTGCACAGAATTGTTTTTCACTTGTGTTTTCCCTCTCCTTTTAAATAATCCTGCTCTGACTGGAGGCTCCCGGAGTGCTGTGGAAGTCTGTGCTGGAGGGCAGGGCGCTGTGCCACGAGGCAAACAGTGGTTAGTTAACGAGCTGCACCCACCTGGTGCTGAGTACGGGTCCAAATCCAACACCTCGAGTGAGACGCGTGCTTTTATAGCTGCTGTTCCCTTGGTCAGGGCTAAAGTGCACTGCTCCTGTGTGGGCTCACAGCCTCCTCTCTCCCTGCATCCAGCCGTGCTGCACGCCCGCTGTTACTCCCATGGGTCGCAGGAGTCGGACGAGGAGTTTGACGCTCGCTGGGTGACGTATTTCAACAAGCCAGACATCGACGCCTGGGAGCTAAGGAAAGGTATGTGGAAGGAAAAGGGAGGGGTAACCTGCAGAAAATGCAGTTGTGTTTGGGATCTGGAGCCGTGAGGGCTTCTGCACGATCAATGAGCTCACTGTGGTGGGCGATGACACCTCACTAATACAATGAGGATGTTGGAAGGAACTATAGCATAGAAAATGAGGAGAAAGAGGGTATAAAGCAGTAGGAACACATTTTTTTTTAAATTCTAGTGCCCCAGAACACGTATTCTAACTCTTGGTCTTTGAGGAGGAGAGAAACACTGGCTCTGAGGAAAGTTTCTGAGCTCAGCTGCTGCCTGGTGGGAGACCACACACATTTTTTTTTTTTGGTCTTTGAGTGAGCGGCTTGGCCATAACTTGCTGCAGACTTTGGTTGTCTCCACATGTTGCTTGCTGTGCAGCTGCCAGCTGCTATTAAACTATCCTAATTAGGGCTTAAAATAACTGCCAGAGGGATTGTTCCCGTGTGATGTGGGTGACCAGGGTTGGGTCCTTCCCCTTGGAGGGAGAGGAAGGGAAGAGGCTGCCTGCATTGCACTAGGAGGAACAAAGTTGTTTGGATTTCTTCATGGTTCTGTAGCAGGCTCCCCACACACACCGCTTTGGGGAGTGTGGATGTTACTGGCCCACTGGGATTTCACCAAATCAACCTAAAAGCTGGTTATAGGCATAGCAGTGAGCGACAGTGAGAGGGAGAAGAGCAAAAGAATGCCCTTGGGGTGTGTGTGTGTGTTCAAAATAGCAGTGAAAGTGCCAGTCGGATGCTCCTGGTGGTGTTAATTATTACTTCTGTCACGAGCTGGAGCAAAACAACGCTTAGCAGGCTCCTTTTGGTAGCCTGGGCCGGGCTGCTCAATGTTTCCCTGCGCTCACAGGTATAAACACGCTGGTGGGCTACGACCTGGTTCCGGAACCAAAAATCATCGATGCAGCTCTGCGGGCGTGCAGACGGTTAAACGACTTCGCCAGCGCGGTCCGCATCCTGGAGGTCGTGAAGGTGAGCGGGGCGCGGGGTGCAGCTGCTGCTTTCTGCGGGGTTTCTCTAGGTTTCCTCTCGGGGCTGCTTCCATCCCAGGGAACAGGTTGGAAACGACACGCAGGGCGCCCCTTGGCTAGGCGTTAGCTGGCGTTACGCAGGGAGTGGTGTCACTGATAATGCTCTGAAAATTTCCCAGACAGGAGCTCGGTGTTGCTCTGGGGTGTTTTGCAGCCGTGAGGGATCGCTGGGGCACTTTGGTGCTGGATTTGTAGGGTGCTGGACTTTGCTCTCTGACTAACGCCCTTCCTTTCCTTGTAGGACAAGGCAGGACCTCACAAGGAAATCTATCCGTACGTTATCCAGGAACTTAGGCCAACTTTGAGTGAACTAGGAATCTCCACTCCAGAGGAACTGGGCCTGGATAAAGCATAAACCATGTTGGTAAGGGGTGCTCTCGCTTTCCAGGCTCCTGGCCTGGGACTCCTGTACCCTAAAACTCCTCTGGCAAAGCCGGGGTGCTCCTCGCAGCCTTCCACAAACACATTGTTGGCAAGGAAGCTCCGGCTCCTATCGAGGTTTTTGATAGGAAGACATCACTTCAGTGACACTGAAACCTGCCTGAAAAACATTTGGCCTTGGGACACGAGGGGGACGTTTGGAGTTCCCTAGCTGTAACTGGGAAATTCAAGCGTTGAAGGAAGAACGAGGTTTTATTGTGAAAATTGATCATGGTTTAAGTGGCCAGACCCACACAGAGCAGTTCTGTGGGACTGTGCAGCCCTGGGATGTCTCCTGCAATATCCTGAAGGTGTAGGGAGCTCTAAATTGGGCAAAATTGAGGTGTTCCACCAAGCACAGCCCTTCCAGAAGAGCCGGTCATGGTTTCCACAGGTGCTCAGGCCTCCAGAGCTGAGAGCTGCCAGGACAAAGGGTTGCTGCAGCTCATGTCTGGCAGGGAATCAGCCTTTGCTCCTCATCAGCTTTTCCTGAGAAGCTTCTTTTAGCAAATGGAAGGATCATTTCCTCTGGAAGTGCTCAAGCTTTCATTTTATTGTAGCCAATTTAGAAAACGGGGAGGTGCTCGTTTCTCTCTCATGCTAGCAAATGGGCCCCACTGTTGACGGTCACCTAACAACCCTGAAGTTTTTTTATCTTGCACTTAAAATAACATAATTTCTGCTAATTTGCAGGACCCCGTGCTCACAGAGCAAACAGATGAGCTGTGGCACAGCCAGAGTTTAACTGATGTGCGGGACGCCCACGGATAACGTCAGGAGCAGTGTGGCGTTTGGTCCCGATGGCGCTGGCCTTGAGTTCTGGGAGGCCGCTTGTTTTAACACCTTAAAAAGCAGAATTCTGAGCACTGCATAAACTCGGGAAGGATGTAACAAAGGGTTAGGCCTGCAGCATCAGTGCCGGGGTTACAGAGGAGCTGTGAGGATCCTTAACGAGGACCCATTGTTAACGTTTGTGTGTGTGGTAACCCTGACAGAAATAAAGCCTGAAACAAAACTTCTCATGGAGCCTGAGTTATGTGAAGGCAGCCTCTTAATCCAGGAGTCTACCCATGTCAGAGACTGTCATTTTTTTGGTCGTATTCTGGATTTTTCCACATTTTTTTAACGTGACCCTTAGGGCCGGGCTGTGCGTGACGCTGGCGGGCAGGGAGGTGTGTGGGAGCTGGTGAGGTAACGGACCGCTTTGTGACGACTTTTTTGTCTTTTTTTCGTTGCAGGTGCGTTATTTGAGCGTTCTCCTGACGCGGCCTGAGCGCGGGCGGCCGTGGTGTTGTGGTTTCACTGAGCCTCAATGCGCCGCCATGCTGCGGGGCGGGGCGGGCCTAATAAAGGGAAGCTTGGCCTGACCGCTGTGCTGTGCTTATTTGTTACGGGGAGCAGGAACCCTCCTGCGCTACCTCTGACCGCGGGGCTGAGTTTGGGCAAAAAAAGGCAAAAATAGAAACAAAAAAATGAGAAATCACCCAGCCCCGGAACCTTTGCGCCCCGGAACCTTTGAGCGGGGGGCGCGGCGGCCACCCGGAGCCTGTCAGAGGGGCGCAGGTCCCGCCCCCGTCCGGCGGCGCAGCCAATGGGAGGCGGCGGGGGCGGGGCCTCGCGGCCATGGCGACGGGCGGCGGCGGCGGGCCCGGGGCTGCGGGCCGGGAGGGGGCGGGGCGGGGCCGGGCGGTGAGGGGGGGGCCAGGGGGGTGGGGGGGGTGTAGGGGCTGTGGGGGGTTATAGGGGGTTATGTGGGATTGTAGGGGGCCGTGTGGGGTTAGAGGGGGGTTAGGTGGGGCTGTGTGGGGTTGCAAGGGGGATATAGGGGATTACAGGGGGTTGTGTGGGGTTATATGGGGCTGTATGGGGCGGTACAGGGTTATATGGGGCTGTATGGGGTTATGTGGGGCCGTGTGGGGGGATATACGGGGCTGTATGGGGTTCTGTGGGATTGGAGGGGGCCGTGTGGGGGGATATATGGGGCTGTATGGGGTTATATGGGGCTGTAGGGGGCTGTGTGTGGGGATATATGGGGCTCTATGGGGTTATATGGGGCTGTATGGGGCAGTACAGGGTTCTATGGGATTGTAGGGGGCTATATGGGGGATATATGGGGCGGTACAGGGTTATATGGGATTGTGGGGGGCTATGTGGGGCTGTGTGGGGGGATATATGGAGCTGTATGGGATCGTACGGGGCTGTACAGGCTTGTGTGGGGTTATATGGGGCTGTACGGGGCTGTGTGGAGTTATATGGGGCTCTGGGGATTATAGGAGGCTGTGTGGGGTTATACGGGGCTGTACAGGGTTATGTGGGATTGTAGGGGGCTACGTGGGGCTGTCTGGGGCTATATGGGGTTGTATGGGACTGCGTGGGGTTACATGGGGCTGTAGGGGATTGTAGGAGACTGTATGGGGCGGTACAGGGTTATATAGGGTTGTAGGGGGCTGTGCGTGGGGTTATACGGGGCTGTACAGGGTTATATGGGGTTGTATTGGGCTGTGTAGGGCTATAGGGAGCTATGTGGGGCTGTATGGGACTGTGGGGTTATATGAGGGGCCGTATGTGAGGATATAGGGGTCTGTGTGGGGCTATATGGGGCTGTAGGGGCTTGTGTGGGTCTGTATAGGGCTGTACGGGGTTATATGGGACTGTGTGGGGCTGTACGGGCTTATGTGGGGCTGTATGGGCATTTCCTGGGCTGTGGGGTTATATGGGGCTGGGGGTTCGTGTATGGGGCTCTATGGGGCTGTGTGTGTGTATGGGGCTGTATGGGTTCGTGTGGGGCTGTGTGCACGGGGAGCAGTCTGGGACTGGGCTATATTTATGGGGCAATGCGGGGCTTTGTGCTCCAGGAGCAGTATAGGGCCTGAGCCCTATGGGGCTGCGTGCACGGAGCAGCCCGCGGCCATACAGGGCTGGGTGGGGGCTGCTCAGGGCAGAGGCCATACAGAGGCTGAGCGAGGACATGGGGGGCCATACAGCACACACGGGGAGCTTTATAGGGTCAGGGCTGCAGCGCAGCCCCCAACTCTCCCCTTTTCCTTTCCAGCCACCCCGAGGCGAGAGCAGGCGGCCGAGCGCTCGGGGCAGCGCCGGGGCGGAGAGGAGGGGGCCCTACCTGCTCTGCCGGGCCCCCCCCGGCCACCCCAAGCTCCGTAAGTGGCCTTAGGGGCGCCCCGAGCCGGCCCTAAAACCCCAATGGGGCCGCGGGGGGCTTCGGGGTCTCACCCCGCTGCTTGCAGAGCGGCCGCGGGAGCCGGCGAAGGCGGCGCCGCGATGGCACGGGCTGCTGGGGGCTAAAAGGTGGGAGCTCACGTCCTTATTTTAGGGTTTTTTAACCCAAACTGGGGGGTTTAAGCTGGGTGAGAAGGGTTTGGGGTGTACTGGGAATGGGGGGGGCTGGGGATACTGGGAGAATGAGAAGGATACTGGGGTGATGGGGATACTGGGAGGATGGGGATGGGGATACTGGGAAGATGAGGAGGATACTGGGAGGATAAGGATGGGGATACTGGGACAGGGAGGATGAGGGTGCTGAGAAGCTGAGGATGGGATACTGGGAGGACGGTGATGAGGATACTGGGGATGCTGGGAGGAAGATGAGGCCGGCTGAGGCCATGGGGGCGCACAGGTTCCCCGTCCCTTTCCCCCCGCGGCCCCACTGTCACCCCGTGTCCCCCAGCAGGCCCCCGAGGTCGCGGGGGGGCTACGTGGCGCTCAGCCAGGTGGCAGAGGACGGGCGGCTGTCCCCCAGCTCGGGCAGGTGAGCGCCCTGCACCCCGATTTGGGGCACGGGGAGGGCGGGCTGGGGGGGATCAGGGCGAGGAGCACCTTAAACACCCTCCAAACCTCGCTTCAAAAGCCCCCAAACCCCATTTTTGCGGTCGATTTGACCAAATCGGTGAGATTTGGAGAGCTTGGAGGGGGCTCCTGCTGGGCAGGGCGGGCAGCAGCGGGGTGCCTGCGTACCCCAAAAGGCAGCAGCCGCCCTGCCCTCAAATCCCTTGGGGTTTCCGAGCAGCCCCGTGCCCGTGGCGCTCACCCTGACCCTTTTTTTTCCTCCTCGCAGCGACGGGGAGCTGGAATCCAGGGGCTCCTCCGGATACTCCTCCGCCGAGGCAAGTGCAGGTTTGGCTCCCGGCCAGGGGGCTTGGCAGGGCGGCTGTGGGGGATTTGCCACCTCGGGGGGGGATTTCCCAGCCCCATTTCCCCCCCGCAGGTGAACCAGGAGCTGAGCCGGCAGCTGCTGCGGGACGGCTACCACCTGGACGAGGTCCCCGACGACGAGGACCTGGACCTGATTCCCCCAAAACCCGCTGCTGCCCCGTGCCCCTGGTGCTTCGGGGACTCCCTCTGCTGCGTGCTGCAGTAGGGCACGGCTCCCCACGGCCCTCGGGGGCACCCCAAAAGCCTCCGTGTCGCACGGGGCAGCTCCCTGCTGGGAGCCCCGCTGCTGCTCAGGACGGGACCACGGCCTCCCCATTATGATTTCTCCACCCCGGGGCCGTTCCGGTCTCACCAGCTGCCTTAAATCAGGGTCCTGCTGCCCTAAATCAGGGTCCTGCTGCCCTACAGGGACAGGGGGCACGCAGGGAGGAACCTTATTTAAACACTCCACCCGGAGAGGGACGCTCTCCCGTTTGGTGTCCTGGCAAGGGAAGCGCTCAATAAAAGGATCTTGCTACTCCTGCTCCCATTTCCTTTCCCCACAGGTGGGTAAAATCCAAGGGGAACCCGATTTGGGGCCGGGGGAGGCTGCAGGGACCCCCCCAGCCCCACACGCAGCGCTGAGGACAAAGTCACCGCTTTATTGGTAGCACCAGGACCCCACAACCCCCCAGCCCAGCACCCCGTAAGCCCCCTGTGGGACACCCAGCACCGCCTGAGGCCGACCCGACGCCTCCTTACCCCCCAGAGGGAGCCTCACGGGGCCAGCAGCAGTCCCGAGGGGAACCCCAAAACCCCACAGCAGCCCCGCGCCGCCGCAGGGCGTTAGCAGCACCGGTGAGGGCTGTGGAGACGCGAGCCCTCTGCCCAAAAAGTCACCTCGGGAGGCGCGGGGCGGGCGCCCAGCTGCTTTTTTTTCACAGAATCGGGGACGAGCGGCTTTGGGATCGCCGTGGGGGGCGGCTGCCGGGCACCGGGCCGGGGCTGCTTTGTTTTTTTTTGGGATTGGGGTGGGCTCAGAGGAGGCAGCAGGCTCGGAAGAGCAGCATCCCGTCGGGCGAGGCGAGGCGCAGGGAGAGGCTCTCGTTGGCGGAGACGAAGAGCACGGAGCCGCGGCGCAGGGACATTTCCGAGGCGGCCGCCGTGGAGGTGGCCACGGCCGTGCCCCGCAGCACCAGCAGGATGCTGGCCGAGTCCAGGGCCGAGACGAGGTACAGCTTGATGGAGGACGGGATCTGCAACGGGAGCAGATCCCATCTGTGCCTCTTCTGCTCCTCCTCCTCCTCCCCGTGCCCGGGGCTGCTCGAGGAGAGGGGTGGAGAGGGGCTGGCGGTGCCACAGTGTCCCCAGCTCGCTCCTCCCCGTGCCACCAGCACACCACGAGGCCAAACCGGGAGGCGGCCCCATCCCGGGGGTGTTTATGGCCAGGCCGGGTGGGGTTTGTGCCCCTCAAACCCAGGCTGCCCAAACTGGGTGGGCTGCGGGGTCCCTTCCCACCCGACCCACTGCACACCCTACAAAGGACACCCGGGACGCGGCATCCCCGAGCCCAGACGGGTGCCGCGGCCCCGAAACCACCCCAAACAGCCTCACCTCGATCCTCATCAGCGTGAAGTCGGGCACGGGGGGGTCGTAGAGGAAAACGCTGGGGTCCAGCGGGCTCTGCACGGCCGGGAAGATTTTGGAGCTGCTGGGGGCCGGCGTGTAGTTGAGCATCTCGCACAGGGTGAGCACGTCGATGAATTTGGGGGTGAGGCCGGCGCGCACCGTGTTGTCCGAGCACGCCATGCACTCCACGCAGTCTGCGGGGGGACAGGGCTGTCAGCGCCCCCCGCCCCGAGCCGTGCCCCCCACCCTGCCCCGAGCCGAGCCCCCCGCTCACCTCCCTGCAGGTAGGCGTGGGGCTCATTGGCCGCCAGGAACATGGCCTCGCCGGGCTCCAGCCGCACCAGGTTGAGGAAGTAGACGGCGAAGCAGCCGATGTCCCCCGGGAACTGGGCGTGCAGGCGCAGCAGCAGGTCCCCGTTGCTCCCCGACGTGTCCTGCCCTTCGTCCACTGCAGGGGGGGGGCCGTGGGGATGGGTGGGGGCTCGGCCTGGCCTCCCCAGCCCAGCCTCCCCATCCTGATCTCCCCATTCTGGCCTTCCCATCCTGGTTTCCCCATCCCAGTCTCCCCATCCTGGTGTCCCTCTCCCAGTCTCTCCGTCCCAACATCCCCATCCTGGTCTCCCCATCTCAGCCTCTCCATCCTGATCTCCACATCCCAGCCTCCTCATCCTTCTCTCCCCGTCCTGGCCTCCCCATCCCGGTCTCCCCATTCTGATCTGCCTGTCCCAGCCTCCCCATCCCAACCTCCCCACCCTGATCTCCCCATTCTAGGCTTCCCATCCCGATCTCCCTATCCCGGTCTCCCCATCCCAGCCTCCCCACCCTGATCTCCCCATTCTGGTCTTCCCATCCCGACCTCTCCACCCTGATCTCCCCATCTCAGCCTCCCCATCCTCATCTCCCCATCCTGATCTGCCTGTCCCAGCCTCCCCATCCCAATCTCCCCATCCTGGCCTCCCCATTCTTGCCTCCCCATCCTGGTCTCCCCGTTCTGATCTCCCCACCCTGATCTCCCCATCCCAACCTCCCCATCCCAGCCCCCAACGTGGGGTTTTCCCCAGCCCCTTCCCCTTCCTTTCCCAGCCTCCCCTCCTCGCCCTAACGACCCCCAGGAGGTTTTTTCTCCGCCACCTTCTCGGGAAATCCTCTGCACCAGGGTGTTGAGCTGGTCGACGAAGGCTTTCTTCTCACTCTTCATCAGCCGGGTGAAGCAGACCCGCAGGGCGGCCGAGACCCCACGGGGATCGTGGCTGGCGCTGCTCTGCTCCAGCTGCTCCGCCGCCACCTCGCCCACCAGCGCCCGCAGCTCGGGGACGGCTGCCCCAAAAGGACGGGGCCATCAGCGGGGCTATGGGGGACGGGCTCCAGGCTCCGTCCCCTTTTTTTCCTCCCCCCCATATCCCATCCTTCCCGAATGCTCACCCCGCAGGAAGGCGGAGATCTCCTCGACGGGTCGGAAGCCGCACAAGCCCTCGAAGGGGGTGAGCGCGATGGCCATCTCGGGCTTGTGGTTGGCGTCGGGGTAGTGCTGGGGGAACTGGGCGTGCAGCTTGGCCGCCAGCTCCTGCCGAGGGGACAGCGCTAGGGGGGTGACGTCCCCGACGGGTGGGAACACGGGGAGCCCCCCACCCAACCCCACTAACCCCATCCCGGTGCCGCCGCCCCGTGCCCACCTTATTGGGGTGCGCCTGGATGGAGAGGGCGCTGCGCACCGACAGCACCTTGAAGAGGAAGGGCAGGCGGCCCTGGAAGGCGTCCTTCACCTTGGCACCCAGGCAGGCGGGGTTGGCCGAAATCCAGCGCCCCAGCGTCTTCTGCGGGATGCGGTTGTCCCGGATGGCCGCGTCGCCTTTGGGGTGGGCGCCCATCCACAGCTTTGGGGGGAGATTTTGGGGGTTAATGGGATTTAATGGGATTTAATGGGATTTGGGCTGAGTCACCCGCTGCGGGGTGACCCTGATGGATGGACAGATGGACAGGTGGAGGGACAGACGGACGCACCTCGGCGTAGGGCTGCTCGGGGTCGATGTGCGCTGTGGGGTCGTCGCTGGCCACCAGCTGGGCCACCTCGCTCTGCAGCCCCAGCTTGCCCCACGAGTAGTTCTGCACCACGCAGGCCAGCGGGAACACTGCGGCGAGGGGACCCCCGTCAGCTGCTGACCGACCCCAACCCGACCCCAAACCCTGACCCCAACCCTGACCCTGACCCCAACCCTGACCCCAACCCTGACCCCAAACCCTGACCCCACACCCGACCCCATCCTGACCCCGGGGGTCTCCCCGGGGGTGTCCCCGTGTCTCACCGCGGATCTCCGCCATGGCCGTGCCGCCCGGTGCCGCTGCCGGGCGCCTCCCCCCGCCGGGCGGGGCCGCGCCCTACACCCGCCCTATAGCGGCCATAGGGGGCGCGCCGCGGGGGGGCCGGGCGGGGGCTGCGAGGGGGCTGCGGGGCCGGGGGGCGCTGCGGGGGCGCCTCTGGGGGCTGCTCTGGGGGGTGCCGGCCCGTGGGGCGCTCTATGGGGCTCTATGGGGCGCTATGGGGTCCTATAGGGCGCGCTATGGGGTGCGGCTCCCTTTAGGACCCAGCGCGCCCCCCCGCCCCAGGCCACGCCCCCTCCCCCAGGCCCCGCCCCCTTCCCAGCGCTAAGCCCCGCCCCTCAGCTGTGACGTCACTCAGGGCAGGGAGCGCCGCCCCGCCCCGCGCAGGGAGGCGGTCACGTGGGCGGGGAGAGCGGCGCATGCGCCGTGGCGCTCCCGGAAGTGTCGGCGCGGCGGCGGCCGGGGCGGGAGCGCGGAGCGGAGCGGGGCGGGGAGCGCCGCCATGGCGGGCTTCGACACCAACCCGTTCGCGGACCCGGTGGACGTGAACCCCTTCCAGGTGCGCGCCGCGCCCCCCGTTCCCCCCCGCTCCCCGTTCCCCCCCCTCCCATCCCCGCGCCGCCGGGCCGCGGCGCTGAGTGGCAGCCCGCCAGCCAATGGCCGCGCCGCTCCGGAGCGCCGCAGCCAATCAGCGCGCGGGGGCGGGACCTGGAGGGGGGGTGTGCGCCGCCGGCAGGGTCCGGCGCCCCCCGGGGTCCGGCACCGTTTGGGTCCCCCCGGGAGCCGCAGCCCGGCCGCTGAGTTCCGGGGCCGCCGCTGCCCCTTGTGGGGGGGGGGGAGTTCTGGGGGAAAAAAGCGCGAGTTTGGGGCTGCGGGGGGAGGCTGTGGGTGGGCAGCCTGGTTTTAGGAGCAGGGAGGGGCGGTGAGGCGCTCTGCCTCATTAGCAGCGGGGCTAATTGGGGTCCTGCCCTGCTGGCGGCCCCACCCCGGGGGGGCTCCCAAAATCCCCGGGATTTGACCCAAAACGGCGCTCCCGGCCCCTGAACCCACGGAGGCGTCCAGGGAGCCTCGTGCCCAGCGCCGGGCGGTTTGGGGGGGCTGCTGCCAGCAAGAAATGGGATCACCCGGCCGTCAGCAGTGACCCGGTGGCTGTATTTGGGTTAAAAAAGGGCTGGGGGGGGGTCGGGGGGGGGGCACGGGGGGGTGGGAGCTGCTGCCCGCTGCTGATCGTCCCCTCCTCTTGCTGCTCCGCAGGACCCCTCGGTGACACAGCTCACCAGCACGAGCCAGAGCGGCCTGGATGAATTCAACCCTTTCTCGGAGAGCTCCCAGCTGGTGCGTGTGGCTGTGCCACGGGTCATGGAGGTGCCTGGGGGGCTTTGGGGCACCCTAAAGCCGGGCAATGGGATAAAAGGGGATAAAAACCCAGTGGGGATCCCTCCGGGGTTCTCTCGTGCCCGCAGCCCTTGGGCACCACTTCCCTGGATGTTAGGGAGCGAGCCCGTTCCCAAAAGCTCCTCCAGCTCCTCGTGGCAATGCTAAAACTTGAGAATTCTCCCCCAAAAGAAGCAGCCCATCACCGTGTTCCTTTATCCCTCGCAGACAAATGCGGCACGGACGACGCCCGCCACGCAGCCCGCCGGCCCCTCGCAGCCTGCCGTCCTGCAGACCTCAGTGGAGCCCACCCCGCAGGTGAGGCACGGCCCCGGGTGCTGCCTTCTGGGGGGGGGGGGGCAGCAGGGGGACGGGGGGGCTCCTGCTGTGCCCACCTGGGCTGGGGGAGGGCTTCTCGACCTTTCTCTCTCCCCCCTCTTTCAGGCTGTGGCCGCGGCGGCGCAGGCCGGGCTGCTGCAGCAGCAGGCAGAGCTGGAGAGGAAGGCGGCCGAGCTGGAGAAGAAGGAGAGGGAGCTGCAGAGCAACGCTGCCAGCATCAACCGTGAGTGGGGGCACGATGAGGGGCTCCCGGGCTGCTCCCTGGGGGGGGTTTGCCCTTTCCAGAGGTGTTGCCCTCTCCCGGGTGTGTGCAGAGCTCTCTCTGTCCTTCCCTCCCGCAGCGAGGCAGAACAACTGGCCACCCCTGCCCAGGAGGTGCCCCATCAAGCCCTGCTTCTACCAGGATTTCTCCGCAGACATCCCGGCCGACTACCAGCGGATATGCAAGATGCTCTACTACCTGTGGATGCGTGAGTAATGCCCCCGGCTGCCATAAAAGCTGGCTCTGAGGAGTTCCTGGATCCAACGCTGCCCTTTGTCCCGCAGCGAGGGCCCCGTGGGTGGTGGCGGCCAGGGCCAAGCAGTGCCTCCCTTCCTTGATTTCCTTCCCCTGGAAGAAAGGCAATGAGATGGCCCCGAAATGGTCACATCTGCAGAGCTTTGTGCCTCAGCGAGGGCCCGAGGGCTCACAGCTGCTTCTCCTCCCCGTCCCGCAGTGCACTCGGTCACCCTGCTCCTCAACCTGCTCGCCTGCCTGGCGTGGTTCACGGTCCAGAATGAAAGAGGCGTAGACTTCGGTCTCTCCATCCTGTGGTTCGTTTTATTCACTCCTTGTGCCTTCCTCTGCTGGTACCGACCGATCTACAAGGCTTTCAGGCAAGTGCCGTTCCCCTCCGCCACGGGCACGTGGCTCCTGCTGGGGGGGAGCTGGGGTTTGTCTGCTCCAGCAGCCTGCTGCCTGGGGGATTTTTCCAGCCCTTCGCATCACTGAGTAGATCAAACCCACTCGTTCCTGAGCCCGTTTGAAAAAAATCTGATGGAATTTGCTCGTGGTGCTCCCTTTTTCGTTGGGAAACCCGAGCCTGGCCACCAGAGTGCGTTCCCTCCTCTCAGAGGGAATCCATCAGCTCAGGTCCCCAGTTTTCACTCCTGCTGCCGTCTCTCCTGCAGGTCTGACAGCTCCTTCAGCTTCTTCGTCTTCTTTTTCATCTTCTTCTGCCAAATCGCCATCTACGTCATCCAGGCTGTCGGCATTCCTGGCTGGGGAGACAGGTGAGGCTCCTGCCCGAGCTGCCAGGAGCTGGGGGCCGTGGCTGCTCTCTTTTTTCCCCTCGTGGTGCAGCCTCCAGGAGCCGCGTGCCATGGAAGCTGCCTCTATTTTTGCCCGCTGCCTGCGGAGCAGCTCCCGGGCAGAGCTGTCCTGGCGCTCCCTGCCCACACAGCGGCGTTTTGGGTCAGAGCTCTGCTCCCTCGGGCCAGGCAGCGTGGTTATTTCTGGCCGTGGTGCCCGGCGTGGCCTCTCTGCTGCTTTTTAACGTGCTGGGAGCTCCAGATCTGGCAGCCCCTCTCCCATTTCCCAACACCAGCCCCTCTTTCCCCTGCTCGGCTGAATTTGGAGGCGTTTGGGGGAGCCGCCTGCCCCCTGGCAGCACCGGGGGGACCCTCAGGGCCGGGGGGGGGCCATGCTCACCCCGCTGCTCTCCCTCGCAGTGGCTGGATCGCGGCGCTGTCCGAGCTGCACGGGAACCTGGCCGTGGCCATCATCATGATGGTGGTGGCGGCGTTCTTCACGCTCTGCGCCGTCCTCTCGCTCTTCCTCCTCAAGCAGGTGAGTTCCTCGCGGGGCTGGGGGCAGCTCAGGCCCCTTGTGGGGCATCCCTGGATGGGATTGCTTGGCCGGGGGGGCCTCCCAGGCTGATATTTTCCCCCCCTGCTCCCTCCCCCAGGTGCACTCCCTGTATCGCCGCACGGGCGCCAGCTTCCAAAGGGCGCAGGAGGAGTTTTCCCAAGGCATCCTCACCAACAGGAGCTTCCAGAACGCAGCGGCCGGGGCGGCCTCCTCGGCCGCACACGGAGCTTTCCGGGGGAATTAGCCCCTCCTGGGGGGCTGCCCCCGCCTCGCCTCCCCTCCCGCCGTCGCCCCCACCTCCCTTTTCTACCGACGCACTTTCTGTGGGCACCACGCGAGCTCTGAGACGCCGACTCCAGCTGAGGAGAGGTCTGGTTTAGCTTCAGCTGGCCCAAGGTTGATCACGGTTTCTTTTCCCTGGCCCGCTCGGGGGGGGCGTTTGTCTCCTCCTGCCCCCCCCATCTGCGGCAGGGGGGCGAGGAGAAGCAGGATTTTTGATTTTACTTTCTCTCTTCTATCAGCCTTTGCTCTGAACAACTTGATGATCTGCTGGTTTTGTTTTTTTTTTTTGGGGGGGGGGGGTTTGTAACTCGCATGTAGCCTGTCGTTGATTTTTTTAAGGGTGGGAGCTGCCCCCGCTGGGCTGCCACAGCCCCACGCTGCGTCCCCACCGCCCGCAGGGCACCAGCAGGAACCTGGGGGCTGTGGGGTCGGGGAGGGGGGGAATTTCCCCGCCTCGTCCCCCCATCACTGCCTCCTGCCAGCCCCGAGGCTGCGGACGGATCCCCCTGCAGGGCCAGCTCCCATTTTATTTAATTTTAACGGGGAAGAACTGGTTTCGTGCCTGGTTTTGGGGGAATGGCAGGATCCCCTCCTGCTGGGTGTGTCCTGGGGCCGTGCTCCCCCCCGCCCCCAGCCCCTTTCCACCTGTCCCCAGATGTTGTAGGGATTTGGGGCTTCCCCTCCCGAGCTCCTCGTTGCCCCCAAATTCTCCAAAATTTGCAGCTTTGAGCTGGAAGCTGCTGGTTGGGACACAGGGAGGTGTGCTGGTTGGGGGGGGGTTCTGTAAAAACAAGGGGGTGGGTAGCCCTGTGGTGAGTGCTTTTTTGGGGAAAAAAGGGGAAGAGCAGGGGGTGCTGGAGAGCCTTGAGGGTTTGATTTCTGCCGTGATGTTGGGGATGGGGAATTCTCCCTGCTGGGAAACCGCTCCCCCTGCTCCCTGGGGGGCTTGGGTTTGTTTTTCCTGGGTAATAAAACCTGATTTTTTTTGTAAAAGAAAAAAAAAAAAAAAAAAGTGAACAGCCAGCCCCTTTCTGGTGTTACTTTCCCCTTTTTCCTTGTCTGATCTTTTCCCAGTAAAAAAAAGAGAAAAAAAAATCAATATAAGGACGCGTCCCGTGAAACGAATCGCGCTTTGAGGAAGAGAGATAATTAAAAAGTGCTTTAAAAAAATAAAAAAGGGGTGAAAAAAATTAAAAGAAAGGAAAGGTTTAAAAAAAAGTGCTGCCACTAAATAAATAAATAAAAAGGGGAGCGGCCGAGCCCGCCCCTTCCTGCCGGGGGCGGCAGCGCCGAGGCGGAGCCGGAACCGGGAGGCGACGGGGACCGGGGGGGGGACACCGGGGGGGGCCCCTGGGGGTCCCGGGGAGGCATGGCCAGGGCCGGCTGCGCCCCTCCGCGCCTCGACGGCTTCGTGCTCACCGAGCGCCTGGGCACCGGCACCTACGCCACGGTGTACAAGGCGTATGGCAAGGTGAGGGGGACCTGGTGGTGGTGATGGGGGGGGTACCCAATAAAGGGGGGGGTCCCCAAGGGGTCAGGGCTCCAGGGTGGCTTCTCCGGGCAGAAGGACACGCGCGAGGTGGTGGCCGTCAAGTGCGTGAGCAAGAGGAGCCTCAACCGGGCGTCGGTGGAGAACCTGCTGACCGAAATCGAGATCCTAAAAACCATCCGGCACCCGCACGTCGTGGAGCTCAAGGACTTCCAGGTGGGCACCCAGGGGGCTCCGCGGGGTCTCGGGGTCACGGCGTGATCCCCGCGGTGCTGGACGTGGTTTCGGGTGGTCTCCGGTGAGCCCCCAATTTGTGTCCCGCAGTGGGACAGCGAGCACATCTACCTGATCATGGAGTTCTGCGCCGGGGGGGACCTGTCCCGCTTCATCCGCACGCGGCGCCTGCTGCCCGAGAAGGTGGCACGCGTCTTCCTCCAGCAGCTGGGTGAGGGCCCCCTCCTCCTCCTCCTCCTCCTTCCTGCTCTTCCTCATCCTCCTCCTCCTCCTCGGGGAGGCGCAGGGCTCTGGGGGCTTTTGGGGACCCGCTGTCCCCCTCGCCCCCCTCCCCAGCCTGCGCCCTCAAGTTCCTCCACGACCACAACATCTCCCACCTGGACCTCAAGCCGCAGAACATCCTGCTGAGCGCCCCGGATAACCCCCAGCTGAAGCTGGCAGGTGGGTTCCCATGCCCCGGGGGGGGTGCACACACCGGGTGCCCCCTCCCCACGCTCTCTCCCCCCCCCCAGATTTTGGCTTTGCGCAGTACATGTCGCCCTGGGACGAGCAGCACGTGCTGCGGGGCTCCCCGCTCTACATGGCCCCCGAGATGGTGTGCCGCCAGCAGTACGACGCCCGCGTGGACCTCTGGTCGGTGGGCGTCATCCTCTACGGTGCGTGTCCCCCCCCCCAGAACCTCCCCAGGGCTTGGTGTCCCCGTCCCCAAATCGGGGGGCACCCCCGCGGTGACATCCAGCAGCCTGCGGGGTCGGCACCCGTGCGCCCTCGGCTCGGTGGCCCCTTGCTGGGGCCTGGAGGGGGTGGATTTAGGGTTTAGGGTTTAGGATTTAGGGGTTAGGGTTTAGGATTTAGGGTTTGGGGTTTAGGATTTGGGGTTCAGGGAGTGCCCCCCTCCTCGCAGAGGCGCTTTTTGGGCGCCCCCCCTTCGCCTCGCGGTCGTTCGCCGAGCTGGAGGAGAAGATCCGCAGCGACCGAGCCATCGAGGTGAGCTGTGGGGTGTCGTGGCCACCAACCTGGGGGGGGTGGCAGGTCGATCTCACCCCCCTACACACCTTCTTACCCCCCTCCCCAGCTGCCCAGCCGGCCCCCGCTGTCCCCAGACTGCCGGGACCTCCTGCAACGCCTCCTGGAGAGGGACCCCCGGCAGCGCATCTCCTTCCAGGACTTCTTCGCCCACCCCTTCGTGGACATGGAGCACGCGCCCGGCCCCGACAGCTTCCCCAAGGCGGTGAGCGGGGCCGGCTCTGGGGATGGGGGGGGGGCAGCAGTGGGGTGAGGTGGGACTGAGCCCCCGAGCCCCCTCTGCCCCCTCCCCAGACCGAGCTGGTGGTGGAGGCGGTGAGGAAGGACCAGGAGGGGGATGCGAGCGCCGCGCTCGCGCTCTACTGCAAAGCCCTGGAGTATTTCGTGCCTGCCCTGCGCTGTGAGTGCCCCGGGGGGCTGCGGGGGGGCCATGGAGGGAGGAGCAGGGGGGGGCTTCAGTCTAAGGAGGGGGGATGTGGAAGGGGCTGGAGCTCGCCCGGTTTGGGTGCAGGAGCAGTGCCGCTGGTGCTTGGCACCCCCCTAGCCCTCGGGGACCCCTGAGCCCTTCTCTGCCCCCAGATGAAAGCGACCCCCGGCGCAAAGAGGCCATCCGGGCAAAGGTGAGCGTGGGGAGCCTGGGGGGCACCCCATCCCGTCACCCCAAAGCCCCGGGGGGGCTGCTTCACCCCGTCCCCCCCCAGGTGGGGCAGTACATCTCGCGGGCGGAGGAGCTGAAGGCGCTGGTCACCTCCGACAGCAAGAACCTCCTGCAGCAGGGCAGCCCGGCCAGGGAGGTCCTCAAAGGTGGCGTTTTGTTTTTTTTTGGGGGGAAACATCACTGGGAACCGGCCCCCAGGGGTCTGGTGGTGGGGAGGCAGGCTGAGGGCACCCCGAAACGTCTCCCCGCAGAGATGGCCAAGGACAAGCCGCGGCTCTGTGCCGCGCTGGAGGTGGCGGCAGCGGCCATGGCCAGGGTGAGTCCTGGATTTTGGGGTGCCGGCACCCCTGGGGTGGCGGGGGGGGGGCTGATCCCAGGGGGAGAAAGAGCTCCCGGAGCATCCCTGGAGGTGCCGGGGGTCCCTTGCAGGAGGAGGACGGCCGAGACGACGGCGACGCCTTGGAGCTCTACCAGCAGAGCCTGGGCGAGCTGCTGCTGCTGCTGGCCGGTGAGTGCCGGGGGGGCACCGGGGGGGCTGCACCCTGCACCCCGCTGACGCCCCCTCTGCCCTCTCCAGCAGAGCCCGCGGGGAGGAGGCGGGAGCTGCTCCACGCCGAGGTGAGCCCCCAAAGCTGCCCCTAAATCCTGCTCGCCCCCCCCGGGTGCTGTCCTGACGGGCTCCCCTCTATCCACCCGCCAGGTGCAGACCCTGATGGCCCGAGCCGAGTACCTGAAGGAGCAAATGAAGGTACGGCCACCCCGGGGGGGGCTCCAGGGGGCTTTGGGGGGGTCAGGGGCTGGCACGAGCTCCTCTGCCCTTCCAGGTGCGGGAGGCGCAGTCCATGGGCAAGGAGGCGCTGGCGGAGTCCGTCCGGAGCTGTGAGTCCCCAACCCCTGCGGGCACCCTGGGGGCCGTGGCCGCAGCCCCCCGAGTGACCCCGTGTCCCCCCCGTGTCCCCCCCAGCCTGCACGGTGCAGTGACAGCGGGGCTGTGGCAGGGCGGTGGTGGCAGGAGGCGTCCCTGCCGCGACCGTCTGCTCCCTGCCCGGCCGTGCCGTGCCCGCGGCGGGCGGCTTTATTCCACCCCAGTTCCTCCGCACGTTTGGGCGCCCGCTGCTGCTGCTGCGCGCAGGCTCCTGCGTGCACAGCCCGGAAAAAATAATAATAATAAAAAAAAAAGGCACACACACACAAAAAAAAAACATCCTATCTGCGCTGGAGGCAGTCGGCGCGGGCACCGAGCGCGCTGCTCGCCCGTGCCACGAGCTTCAGGGAAACGCCAGCGCCGACCCCGGGGGCAGGATCCAGGCCCCCCCGTGTGCTGTGCCCCATGGGGATGCCCCAAAACCCTCGTCCCTTGGGGCTGTCCCCAGCTGGAGTGGCTCTGTGGCTGCGGGGGGGTCAGCCTGCCCTGCGGGGAGGGGGCCTCGTCTCCAAAGCTGCTGCGTTTCAGGGGAATGTAATTTATTGCCTCGAATAAATGCTTTGGTTTTTTGGGGGGGTGTCTCCAAGTGGCTTATTCCGTGCCGCCGCTTTTGGTGGGGTCGAAGCTCGGGTTGACCCTCTCTCCGAGGCCGTTCTGTGGGGTTTCTTTTTTCGTTACCCTTGGGAGCAGCGAGTGTATCCCCGGGCTGCACAGAGCTCCCAAGCCTGCCGCCCCCCCCGCGCTGCCATCCATCACCTTCACCTTCACGCTCTGCCGAAGACGCGGCCGGATCCGGAGCCCCGTCCCCCTCGGCAGGACACGGTCCGCAGCGGGGTCACCCCAAATCTCTGTGGGGCTGGGGGGAGCTGGGATTTTTGTGCCCCCTCCCAGGTTTTAAGGCGCTGCCCCCCCAAACCCCTGACTCGTCCCCCAGCAGCGAGCAGTGCACAAGGAGCTCCCGGCTTTATTCCGGCGGTGCCGCGGCACGGGGACAGCAGGGTAGGGGCGGACACTCGGCAGGGCACGGTGCACGGTCACATCACGACGGGCACGGAGGCGAGGTTCCCTACACACAGCTCGCTTTTCCACCCCCCCCTTCTCCAGCGGGTCCCAGCATCGGGGACGGAGGGCGCGAGGCCACCCCTTGGCTGTGTCCTCACCGAAACCTCCCCAAAAAAAACACAACCACAGCACGCACGGGGACACCGGCACGGACGGAGCAAGGGGGGCAGGGGCTCGGGGCTCAGCGGGGAGGACCCGGCTCACGCAGGGGGTGGCGGTGCCGGGGGGGTCCCCGTGTGGACCCCTCGCTGCGAGGGAGAGGGGACGGAGCCGCCGGCTGGGTCACATCACGGCGCATTTCTCAGCCGACTGCTTCAGGTCCTCCAGCGTGGCCGAGGCTTTGTCCTTCAAGGAGTCCAGGTCCAGGTTCTGGATGTTGCTGAGCTGGCCGATGACCGAGTTCTTCTCCTCCTCCTCCTCGTTGTCCTGCTCGATCATCTTGGCCAGCTCCTTGGGCAGCTCCACGTCGCCGCCCACCAGCTGGATCTGGTTGTCGTCCGTCTCGTTCTGGAACGAGAAAAGTCGGGGCGAGGTGGTGGGTGGTGAGGACGGGATGTCTCGAGCGTGGGGAGGCAGCAGAAGGACGGGGGCACGGAGCCGAACGAATCCCCGCTCCCCCCCGGGAGAAAATCTCCATCTCTCCTTGCCTGCCTCGCTTCGCTTTGGCAGGAGAAAAATCCCCTGGCTGCTTATTCCCCGGCGCTGCAACGGGTGTAAGGAGCAGTGGGGCGCTTTGTGCCAGCGATACCCAAAAAAATGAACCTCTTTTGGCCGAGCTGGCCTTCCCTGCCTAAAATTATCCCGGCTCCATTCAGAGCGTTCCCAACGAGGGGTTCGGAAAGGATCGGGCTGGGTGCAGGGCGCTGGTGGCAGGTCCAAGAGCGGCTGAATGGCCGCTGATTGAATTGTTGGGAGTGAATGGCTGGCGGGGCGGAAGGGCCAAAATAGGAATCCAGCTCCTGGAGGCGAGGGGGTGCCAAAGAAGCCAGGAGCTGGCTCATCCAGCCGGGGGGGCGCAGCGCTGGCTCTGTGTGGGGCTGGGAGCCTGGCATGAGGGTGGCTCTGCCTGGCAGGGCTGGGGGCAAAAAGGAGGAATTGGGGGGCTGGGGGTGCGTGGGGAGGGTCCTGCCCTCGGGGTCAGGGGGCTGGGGGTGCGAGGGGGGCTGTAGGGCCAAAGGGAGGGATGTATTTTTAGGGGAATGGGCTTTGGGATTTGGGATTTGCAGCCGATGCCCGCCCTGGGTGGTGCCCCCCGTGTGCCCCATCCCAGACCCGCAGTTTGGGGGGGGTCCCTGCGCCTGCCCCCCCCCCCGCAGCCATACCTTGGGGAGCCGGTACTTGTCTCGGAAAGTGGGACCTGAAGGTGGCCCTCTCCGCCTTGCGCTGGGCAAACTGGGCATCTCTCTCCATCCTGCCAACCGCACGGTGCCGTTACCCCCAGCCGGTGCCCCCATCACCCTCCATAACCCCCCCCCCCCAAAAAAAAAAAACAGGTACCCCCCATCCTCTCCGCAAAGCCCCGGTCCCCCCGCTTTCCTCCCCCCCCCCACGGCACAGCCAGAAAGGAGAAAAAAAAATCCCAGAGGAAGCGGATTAAGGGATTAGGGGGGTTCGTCAGGCAGCCTCCTGGCTCTGCAGCTCCACCGCTGGCTCCCCCCAAGGCTCCCCAGGCGCAGGGAGCTCCGGGCCCCCCGTCCTGTCCGTGTCCCCCCCCCCCAGGCACTCACTTCTCCTCCACCAGCTGCCGCTGATACTCCTCGTACTCCTCGCGGGTCATGCCCTGAGCCTCGGCGGGGGACTTCTCGCCCTCGCTCTTCTCCTCGCCCCCCAGGCCACCCGTCAGGTTCTTCAGCTGGCCCCCCACCATGCTCTTCACCATGAACGCCATGGCTGCGGGACCGGGGGGGGGGGCGAGGAGAGGGGGTACGGGGGTGATGGGGAGCTCAGGGAACAGGGAGGTGGGGGGGTGGGGGGAGCAGGGAGAGGGGATGCTCGGGGATATGGGGGGGGTGGGATGCTCGGGGGGGTGGGAGGTGCAGGTACTGGGGATACTGGAGAGATGCTGGGGGAACTGGGAGATGCTGGTGCGAGGGAGATGGGGAGCGGGGAGATGAAGGCAAGAGGCTGACCGGGGAGGTGGGATGCTCGGAAAATGAGGGGATGGGGGTAAAGGGGGGACCGGGGAGGTGGGGGGCTCAGGGGATGGGGAGCTGGGATGCTCGGGGATCGGGGGGGGATGCGGGAACCGGCAGCAGCGGGGGGGTCGGGGGCTCGGGGAACTCTCGGGGGTCCCGGAGAGACCTCGGGATGCTGAGGGGAGCGGGGAGCCCGAGGGCGCGCAGCCCCGGGGTGCCCGGGGAGCCGGCTTACCGCCGCCAGCAGCGAGGTACCGGGGGGTCGGGGGGGGGGCCGGGGGGGGCCGCTCCTCCCCGGGGCTGCCCGGGCAGCGGCTCCGAGGCTCGAGCGGCTCCGCTGTGAGCGCGGCGGGGGCGGCGCCGCCTCCCCCCGGCCCCCTCCCCGACCCCCCCGGCCGAGAGGCGGAGCCGCCCCCCCCCCGGTGGAGGAAAAAAAAAGAGGGGGGGGCTCCGGGAAACTTCGCCTCGGGAAGGAGCCCCCCGAGCAGCCGGCCCGGGGGTGGATGGAAACTGCTCGTTCTCCCCCCCCCCCCCCCCGAGAATGGGCTTTTTTGATTCTTTTTTGCTTTATTCCCCCCGTTCCCGGAGGATTTTTAGCACCCCGCGGAAGGCAGGCGCAGCACGCACGAGTTGCAACTGTTGTTCGCTCCTCGCCGGGAGGATCTGGCGCGCCCCGCAGCTCGCTATTAACGATGTTAATTAATTCTAATAAAAGCTGCTGCTCCCTGCCAGCGCTGCCGTGTGCCACAGCCTGGCGTCCGTCCGTCAGAGGAGGGGGCTGAGGAGGGCGCAGGCACCCAGTGGGTGGGGAAATTCCCTCTGTCCCCTGGCTCTCATCCCGTTTTAATCCCAATCCCAATCCCATCCCCATCCCCATCCCATCCCCATCCCATCCCCATCCCCATCCCCATCCCATCCCCATCCCATCCCATCCCATCCCCATCCCATCCCATCCCCATCCCCATCCCATCCCATCCATCCCCATCCCATCCCCATCCCATCCCATCCCATCCCCATCCCATCCCATCCCCATCCCATCCCATCCCCATCCCCATCCCCATCCCATCCCCATCCCCATCCCCATCCCATCCCCATCCCATCCCATCCCATCCCCATCCCATCCCCATCCCCATCCCCATCCCCATCCCATCCCCATCCCATCCCATCCCATCCCCATCCCATCCCATCCCATCCCATCCCCATCCCCATCCCCATCCCATCCCCATCCCCATCCCATCCCCATCCCCATCCCCATCCCCATCCCCATCCCCATCCCATCCCCATCCCCATCCCCATCCCCATCCCCATCCCCATCCCAATCCCCATCCCCATCCCATCCTATCCCCATTTCCCCCCTGGCTGCAGCCCCCCCGGCCTTTGGGGGCGAGCAGTTTGAGGCTCGGCGACGCGCCTCCCTTCCAGATGGCCAGCCTGGCTCTCGTGTCCTTTTCTCCCTCTTTTCTTCTCCTCTGGTGAAAATACGAGCGCATATCCCAGCTCTCAATCCCGGCTTGGGGGAAATCATTTCATTTCGGAAACATAAAGACAATCTCCGCAGATTAAAATGATGGAACAGCTGTGAAGAGAGAGAATAAAGCGAACGGCGAGGGGGGGACGCGGCCCATCTCCTCCCTTCCCCCCTCGCCCAAGGTAACACCGGGCAAAACTTGGTCTTAGAAGGAAAAAAATAAATAAATTACGGGGTGTGTGTGTCCCCCCCAGCTCCATGGTGTCTGGCTGGGGCTGTGCTCAGCCGAGGGTGCAAATTGCTTCTCGCCGCCGCCGGGGACACCCGAGGCAGCGCTTGGCACGAGCCCGCTGTCACCCACAGCACCCCGCTGAGCTGGCAGCGGGACAGCCCCAAAACCACCATTTTTTTCCCTTTTCCCCCCAATCTGCAGGGGCAGCCCATGGAAAAAGCCAGCACGGAGCTTTCACACCCAGCTCCGAGGCTTCGAGTGCGCCGCAGAGCTCTGCTTGCAAAACTGCCAAGTTTGGGGAAAAATGGGGGAAAAATGGGGTGAGACGAGGGGTTCTGGCCTTGGGGCTGTGCCCGGGTGAATTGGGGCACCTCGGCCTGCCGGGAACGGGGGGCGCACAGCCCCGAGCACCCCGAGCACCCGGCTGAGGGCTGGAACAGCGCCCGCAGCGCGCGTCGGGAGGCAGCGTGAGCTAACAGCAAGAGACTCGGAGTCAGGACCGATTTTTGCAGCTGGGTTGGATGGGTCAGCTGCCGCGTGGCCTCCCCGTCTGCGGAGGGGAGAGGAAACAGCTCGTGACGAGCCGAGCCGCCCAGGCGAAGCGGCGAGGTGAAAAGGAGCGCGTGGGCCCCGGCTGCCGGGGGGCTCCCCGGGGACCCTCCTCGGCGGCGTTTCGGGGGGAGGCGAGGGCAGGGGGAGGCGCAGGGGGGCGCAGAGCCCCCGTGGTGCTCGGCAGGAGCTGGAGGTGCCGCGGGGAGAAGAGCCACGAGGTTGCCCTTTGTGGCTCGCCGCGGCCCCAAGGCGCCGGTGGCACTTTTGGGCACGGAGCAAAAGGGCGAGGAAGGGGCATTTCCCCCCAACAGCCCCCGGGAAATGACCTCCGGGAGGGCTCCCCTCGGGTGTCCCGCCTGGAGGTGGCACTGAGGGGACAGCGGGGGTCCCGGCGGGGGCTGTGCCCACTGGGGGGCTGCCGTCCCCCTGCACCCCCTGCTCCCTCTCCCCGAAACGTGTTCCAGCCCCAATGAGTCATCCTTCCTCGCGGGGCTCTAACCTGCCGTAATGAGATGCAAATCCTTGCATGACCTATTATATTAGCTTATGCTATATCACACAGCCCTGGGGATTAGGGGGGGGGCAGACGAGACGTGTCCCCCCCCTCCCCATGGCAGCCGGCCTCAGCTGAGTCTCGCTCCCCGCCGCTGCCACCTGATGTGAGCAGGGTGCTGGGGTTCCCCCTGCCCTAAACCCCCCCCTGGGGGGTGTGCTCTCAGCTCTGCTTTCCAGGTAAGCAGGGAACCAGCCCCAACACCCCACCTGCAGGCTCTCCACTTGGTCTGGATTTTGGGGGGACCCTGGAGAAGACCAGGAGTTGCCGGGGATGCCTGGAACGGGCGGCTCTTGGGGTGGTGTAGGGGAGTTTGGGGACCTCCCTGCCCCTTTCACCATGCCCCTGCTGATGTTAGAGGGGCGAACTGACTCCGTGCTGCTCTCTGCAAACCCCGTTCACACCCAGACCCGGGTCACCCTCCTGGTGCAAACCTCCCCATGACGTGCCGGTTCTGGTGTCACCGGCGTGCCGGGCTGGGCAAGGCCACCGAAGGCAGGGAAGCCCCAGGGGGACACCTCGGAGACCTGGGCAGGGCGATGGAGGCTGGAAAAAAAACCCTTCAAGCCTGACAGGTCCGAGCACAAGGAGGTGAGCTCGGTCCTGGCCAGGGTTGTGGGGTTGGGGTGCTGCTGGGAATAAAAGGGTTGTGGTGGCAGCGGGAAGGAGGTCGGTGGGGAGATGGAGGGGTTGGTGAGAGACACACAGGGGTGACGGAGGGATTTTGGTGGGAGCTGTCGAGGGGTGGCCATGGGGAGGGTGCCAGGGGTGCCAACGGGCTTGGCAGAAAACCCCACAGGACTTTGGAGGGGTGATGGAGGGGTCCCCAAGGGATGAGGCTCCCCCAAGGGCAGGGGCTGCCTCCAGGCGGGCCTTTGGGAAAGCTGCTGTCACCGCCTGGGTAAGGAGAAATCTGACGGAAGGAGGTATTAGTGCCGTAATTATTATTCAGTACCAGCCCTTAATGAGATGCACGGGGGCAGGGGGAGTCGGCACGCAGCTCGTGGCCGCTCGTTTGGGGAGATGGAGCCTCCCGGCTGACCTTTCCTGCTCCGTGCCGGGCGGCACTGACCCTGGGCTACGTGGCACATGGCACACCATGCAATGAGTTATTGCATTTATTTATTTGCTTCCTAATTTACTTACTTATTTATTTATTTACTTACCTATTTATTTACTCATCTACTTATTTACTTATTTATATACCTATTTATGTACATACCTATTTCTTTACTCACTCATTTTCTTATCTATTTATTTACTTATTTACTCATTTATTTATTTATTTACTTATTTAGTTATTCACTTATTCAGTTGTTTACTTATCCATTTATTTACTCATTTATGCACTCATTTAGCTCGTGTTTAATTGGATCACGAGCTCTCGGGCGCGCACAGCAGCCCCCCTCCGGGATGCAGCGCTTGTGGCGGTGGCTGGAGCCACGGGGGAAGGAGCCACGAGGTCTCCCTCAAGGTAATGCCCGTGTATCGAGCCCAAACACCTTCATATTTCACAAGGACCAGCCCGTGCGCTGCAGCTCCCCCTGCTCCGTGCGCACACATATGTGAGGGGGCACCCGCGCTGTGACACAAATGCACCCGGACAGACACACGGCGCCGCGGAGCCAGGCACATGGGGACACCACGTGCCGCCGTGCTGCTGGTGGTGCTCAGCCAGCCCCGAGCAAAGGCACACGCACACACGCACACATGCACACACAAGTTTTCCCCCGGGGATCTTTGCCGAGCTCACCCCCGGGTCCTGGAGAGCTGGGGAGAAGGAGCAGGGCGAGAGGTGCCCCGCAGCGGGGACGCCTCCGTGCACCCCGATAAAAATATCCTCGTGCTCAGGTCAATGCGCAGGATGCGCAGATGCTGCCGGGGCTGCGAGGGGTTTGGAGCCTGCCCAGTGAGGAGGCAGCAGCAGCAGGAGCTGTAATTAGGGCTGGGGATTTGCCCCGAGCAGCGCTGAGCCCGCCCAGGCGCCTTGCTCCCCGCTTTTTGGGGAGGATGCGCCGTGCAACCCCTGCAGTTAATGTCAGGGTGCCTCTGGGCCAAAAAAGGGGGAAATAGGGGAAATGGGGAGCGGCGAGCAATGGCTACAGTCAGGACCGGGGGTCTGGTTGCCTTTGAAGTGATTTTCTATTTTTTTTTTTCTTTTTTTTTTTGTTTCTGGTTTGCTGAGAAGAGGGGGAGGAAGGCTCTGCGCATGGCTGGCTGCCCTGGCTCGGGGGCTCGTGGGTGAGGGCGAGAGCAGAGGGTGAAGAGGAGGGGGAAGAGGAAGAGCCTCACCCGAGGCCACAACCAGGGGAAGGGGGCAGAGGGCACGCATGGGGCACGCAGAGCATCCGAGGGGCTGATGCAGCAACCCCCTTCTTCCCCACCCCAAAGGCTGCCCCTGGGGATGCTGAGCCCCCCGCCCCTGCTCCAGTGTGGGCTGCGTGCCCAGGGCAGGCTGCTCTCCGGGCTGCCTGATGGAAAAGCCCCAAAACGCCTCGGGGGAGACAGCAGCAGCTGGGACACGGCTGCTCTC